TTATCTTAAAAAATTTAATAACAATAGCAATAAATGAGCTCAAAGTTTTGCAAAAATACGCCAGCTTTTCACTTAAGTTCAGTAAAATCCACTAGGTGGCGTCGACATAAAATCGAAGCTACCTGCAACATAATTAAATAAGTGTGGTTATAATAGGCCGGAGCGTATCGATAGTGGTAGAGTCGAGCTTTGGCAGCTGAACAATCTCTACAAAGACTGTTGGTGATATTCCTGCAGCTGGGTATCCCGGTTACGGATGACACTCTTCTCTAAAGGGGAAGGGACCTAGGTGTCCCTTTACCCTGAATCTCGACGAGTGCGATAAAAAAAAATTAATTCCAACCGATGTCATCTCTGCCACAATACCAGGAGACATATGTAGCCAGAGCACAATCTGCACCAACTCTTCAGAGTTGTGTGGCAGTCATTCAAAGGCAAAGATTCTTTCATTAATCCAAATTTTTGCAAGTTATACAAGGTCAAACCAATTAAAGATACCTGTCAAGTTAGTGTTAAAGAATTCTAAGTAACATTAAGATATTTATTTTATGACGTAAGAGTAGTTGTTGTTCATAATATTTTAAGGTTGAACTCACATGGATTATGCCCTCATTACATCATTTGTACAAAACTAAGCCTCATAAAATTGTTTCATGGATTATTAGGCACGAAGGAGAGGGTTCCTTAATAAATTACCTTCGTCAAAAATTATGGTGCTTGCATATTTTGAGTGGCATCAATGGAGGAGATTTTGAGCATAACTCGATGTATTCGTTGTTAGGTTTATCTTTGATATTAACTGATGATGGGTTCAAGCACTTAAAAGATGTATTAGAAGCTGTATTTTCCTACATAAGTTTGTTACGTCGAGTGGGTCCTAATAAAAGGTTATTTGATGAAATTCAGAAAACTAAAGACATCAGTTTCAGGTGATTGTGAAATAGTTTTTATTCATTAATGTTATACGCCACATCTATCTAAAACTATATTACACTTGTTGTACACAAGTACAACATAATTTGCAAGTTTATTAATGTGTAATTCAAATTATTTAAGTAATTTCATAACTTTTTTTTAATTATAAATTGCATCAGAAAAATATAGTGGGAAAGAATTTTTTAGATTTATGACTGAACAAGACACTATAGATAACGTCACAACTTTATGTGTAAATATGCATTTGTACCCATCGAAAGACTTTTTGACAGGAGAAAATTTATATTCTCTCTATGATCCATGTATAAAATTAAATATTGTAAGGACCAGCTTGGAATTTCTATTTAAATTTTTTATTGATAATACTAAGTTTTGACAATTTTAGTACAACCTTAACTAGTAAGGTATTTACACCATGAGCTTAATTTCGCTACGAATTTCAAATTTACAAAATTAAAATTTGTGACCGTTATTATGACAGTCATAACACATTTTTGTACACTAGTTTTAAAACCACACATGAAAAAAAGTAAATAGAATTTTATTTTGGTGTCAATAACGTGAGATAACAAAAAAATTAATATAAGATAAGACAGTGATTGAAACACACACAATTCTTCCCTACTGTTGAATAAAAAACTTATTACTGTGTTTTAATATAGATACGATCATCATCAGAATTTGGGAAATAGAAAGAAGATGATAATAAATCAAATTTACACTGAATAAACTATTTTTTTGGCTAAGTTATTACCTCAACTTCTGAAGAAGTGAAATCGTTTTGTTTTTACAATGTCAAGAGCCAAGGATTATTCTACAGAAGAATCTATCGGATCAGTCAGTAATCCTAGTCATCCTACTTCTGCTAATACAATAATTAATGATGCCAAAGCGTCTGGAGTGGAAGTACAACATCTTGAAACTCCCGACAAATCGGAGAGTGACAAAAAAAATTACAGGTAATTTTATTTTAAATATTTATATACGAAAATTATACACATGTATATTTGATGAATGTTAAAAAAAATTCGAGTACATATTGCCTGCATGTCTTTTAGTAGCATATTAAAGGTGAAGATTAATTAACAATTTAATTAAATATTTTAGAACTATAAGACTACCGAACGGATTGACAGCATTATTAGTTTCTGATCTTCATTGTGGTGGAAGTAAAGGTAAATTTAAAAACTTTTATTTTACATATATTTTTTTAAACTGCAATTTATTTAAAAATTGTCTTCTAAAGCTTGTGATTCCAAAGGCAAAAGTGGAGAGGAAGGCCGTAACAATGACTCACAGGGTAAGGAAAGTAAAGATGGAGGTAATGAGGAAAGTGGTCATGGAATAAAAAATCTTACTGGCAAACCCAGTAAAGAAGAAAAAAAAAGGGTATTTCGTGATTTATCAAACCCTAAATGTAAAAAAAAAAGTATTTTATTACGTATATTAAAAATTTTTAGGCAGCATGTGCCTTATCCGTAAAAGTTGGAAGTTTTAGTGATCCACTCAAAATTCAAGGTATGGCTCATTTTCTTGAGCATGTGGTGTTAATGGGTTCCGAAAAATATCCCCAGGTAATTGATATTGACATACTACACATACGAACACATAAAAACAAGAATTTATCACATTAATGAAAAATGACTTTGACGAATTTATAAAAAAGAATAGTATCACTGAAAATGGTTACACTGACTGGGAGCACACAACATTTAGCTTAGAAGTGCGAGAAAACTATTTACTACCTGCCATGGACCGTTTCGCCCAATTTTTTATAAGTCCTCTTATGGAAAAAAGTGCTATCACTAAAGAAAGGGAAACTGTAGAAAGTGGTTTGTTATTTGTACCTACAGTATCAAAATTTAGTTCACTTTATGTGTTTAAAAAAAGCATATTATCAACATTCTATATTTTAGAGTTCAAGATGGCCTTACCATCGGATTACCACAGAAAAGAGCGATTGATTAACAGCTGTGCAAAAACTAATCACCCTGCCACAAAATTTTCGTGGGGTAATTTAATAACGCTAAAAGATAATATAGAAGAAGAAACATTGTATTCAGAATTGCATAAGTTCAAAGACAGGCATTACAGTGCTCATCGAATGACTCTGGCTGTTCAAGTTTGTTTTCTGTTGTTCTATGAATCATACAAATGACGTTCTTGCTCCCAATTTTATATTCTTTATTATGTTTAATTCTACAGGCTAGACTATCATTGGATGAGTTGGAGAAATATGTCATCGACTGCTTTTCTAGTGTGCCTGTTAACCATCTGTCGTGTGATGATTTTTCTGAATTCAAAGGCAAAGATTCTTTCATTAATCCAAATTTTTGCAAGTTATACAAGGTCAAACCAATTAAAGATACCTGTCAAGTTAGTGTTAAAGAATTCTAAGTAACATTAAGATATTTATTTTATGACGTAAGAGTAGTTGTTGTTCATAATATTTTAAGGTTGAACTCACATGGATTATGCCCTCATTACATCATTTGTACAAAACTAAGCCTCATAAAATTGTTTCATGGATTATTAGGCACGAAGGAGAGGGTTCCTTAATAAATTACCTTCGTCAAAAATTATGGTGCTTGCATATTTTGAGTGGCATCAATGGAGGAGATTTTGAGCATAACTCGATGTATTCGTTGTTAGGTTTATCTTTGATATTAACTGATGATGGGTTCAAGCACTTAAAAGATGTATTAGAAGCTGTATTTTCCTACATAAGTTTGTTACGTCGAGTGGGTCCTAATAAAAGGTTATTTGATGAAATTCAGAAAACTAAAGACATCAGTTTCAGGTGATTGTGAAATAGTTTTTATTCATTAATGTTATACGCCACATCTATCTAAAACTATATTACACTTGTTGTACACAAGTACAACATAATTTGCAAGTTTATTAATGTGTAATTCAAATTATTTAAGTAATTTCATAACTTTTTTTTAATTATAAATTGCATCAGAAAAATATAGTGGGAAAGAATTTTTTAGATTTATGACTGAACAAGACACTATAGATAACGTCACAACTTTATGTGTAAATATGCATTTGTACCCATCGAAAGACTTTTTGACAGGAGAAAATTTATATTCTCTCTATGATCCGGAATCTATAAAACAATGTATGGAAGACTTGAGCCCAGAAAAAGTCAATATTATACTTTTTGATCGGAAATTTAATGAGGAAGACTTTGACCAAGTGGAACCGTGGTTCCAGACAAAGTATTCTAGTGAAGATATACCCAAGGAATGGGTCTCTCGTTGGAAAGAAATTGAACCTTTTGAAGAATTTCATTTGCCCGAACCCAACGAGTTTATCACGGATGATTTCACTTTGATAGATTTGCCCGCCGATGTACCAAGTTACCCAACGAAAATCTATCATGACGAAAAAACAGAAATTTGGTACAGAATGGACCCCAAGTTCCGTCTCCCGGAATGTTACATTTACTTGCTTTTGCAAACTCCTTATGCAACAGAATCTCCGAAATCGTAAGTCATAATATTCATTTTGTTTAAAATTCTTTGAGAAAATATTTTTATTATTTATATTTACATTATTTTTCTATACAATTTTTTTTTATCAGCTCTGCCATGTTGGACATATATTTGGCAGTGTTGAAACACTTAGTTGTCCCATCTCTATTCCCTGCATCAGCTGCTAAATTAAATTATGAAATTCTTCCGGACGATAAGGGTGTTGTTATCCAAGTGTACGGTTTTAATCAAAAATTACCTGTGAGTAATTAATATATTTTTTTGCATTTGTATTATTATTATTTTTAAATAATCGTATGTTTTTCTAGCTTTTGTTAAAGAAAATTTTTCAAAATATCGCTAACTGTCATAAATTAACTACAGAGGAATTATTTAATGTTATAAAAAGGGAACAGCGGAAAGAAAAATTTAATACTTTTATCAAGTCCGAGAAACTCTGCGGGTAAGTAATCGGCATATTTTTTTTTTAAATTGTCATATTGAATAAAATGTTGCCACTACTTTAAACATCTGTATGAACGTTTTCAATATATCCATTACAAAACTAGTTTCTAGAAGTGTATGGTAATTTTGTTGAAAAATCACATTTCAGGGATATACGATTATCTATCATAACTAAAGGTTATTCAACAGCAATTGAGAAACATACTGCCCTTTGCGACATAGACTTTCATCAGTATCTCCAATTCGCTGAGCATCTGATGGATAACTTGTACATTCAGTGTCTCGCCCAAGGAAACATGACCCGAGAGAATTTGTTGAAATGTGTGTTTGAGTGTACCGAACTATTGAAATTCAGCAAATTAGATTCCAGTGCATACCCACAAATATTAGCTTACGAGATACCGATTGGGGAAAAGTATTGCAAAGTCAAAAGTTTCCTACCCAACGATGTCAACTCTGTTGTGACCAATTTATATCAATTTGGACTCGATTCTATCCATTTATCTGTTATGATTCAACTTTTAATGGTGAGTCTGTTGTACATATACTTAGCATCTTTTCGAAAGTATTTCTCGAGCATTAAAACTGAAAATAATGATAAATATTAATTACCATCAATGTTTGTGTTCAATCAGCTGGTGATGAAAGAACCCGCATTTGATTTTCTTAGAACCCACATGCAGTTGGGCTACGATGTTTGGTGTGATATAAGAGAGACGTACGATACTCTTGAATTTTCAATATCTGTTTGCACTCAAGCCAACAAGTTTTCTACTGATTTTGTAAATTTTTGCATTGAACACTTTATTGAGAGTATGATTAAATTTGTAGAAAGTATGTCTCAAGAAAAATTTGATTGTATTAAAAAGTCTCTCATTGAGACCAAAATGTGCGTATCAAAATTTAGTTCACTTTATGTGTTTAAAAAAAGCATATTATCAACATTCTATATTTTAGAGTTCAAGATGGCCTTACCATCGGATTACCACAGAAAAGAGCGATTGATTAACAGCTGTGCAAAAACTAATCACCCTGCCACAAAATTTTCGTGGGGTAATTTAATAACGCTAAAAGATAATATAGAAGAAGAAACATTGTATTCAGAATTGCATAAGTTCAAAGACAGGCATTACAGTGCTCATCGAATGACTCTGGCTGTTCAAGTTTGTTTTCTGTTGTTCTATGAATCATACAAATGACGTTCTTGCTCCCAATTTTATATTCTTTATTATGTTTAATTCTACAGGCTAGACTATCATTGGATGAGTTGGAGAAATATGTCATCGACTGCTTTTCTAGTGTGCCTGTTAACCATCTGTCGTGTGATGATTTTTCTGAATTCAAAGGCAAAGATTCTTTCATTAATCCAAATTTTTGCAAGTTATACAAGGTCAAACCAATTAAAGATACCTGTCAAGTTAGTGTTAAAGAATTCTAAGTAACATTAAGATATTTATTTTATGACGTAAGAGTAGTTGTTGTTCATAATATTTTAAGGTTGAACTCACATGGATTATGCCCTCATTACATCATTTGTACAAAACTAAGCCTCATAAAATTGTTTCATGGATTATTAGGCACGAAGGAGAGGGTTCCTTAATAAATTACCTTCGTCAAAAATTATGGTGCTTGCATATTTTGAGTGGCATCAATGGAGGAGATTTTGAGCATAACTCGATGTATTCGTTGTTAGGTTTATCTTTGATATTAACTGATGATGGGTTCAAGCACTTAAAAGATGTATTAGAAGCTGTATTTTCCTACATAAGTTTGTTACGTCGAGTGGGTCCTAATAAAAGGTTATTTGATGAAATTCAGAAAACTAAAGACATCAGTTTCAGGTGATTGTGAAATAGTTTTTATTCATTAATGTTATACGCCACATCTATCTAAAACTATATTACACTTGTTGTACACAAGTACAACATAATTTGCAAGTTTATTAATGTGTAATTCAAATTATTTAAGTAATTTCATAACTTTTTTTTAATTATAAATTGCATCAGAAAAATATAGTGGGAAAGAATTTTTTAGATTTATGACTGAACAAGACACTATAGATAACGTCACAACTTTATGTGTAAATATGCATTTGTACCCATCGAAAGACTTTTTGACAGGAGAAAATTTATATTCTCTCTATGATCCGGAATCTATAAAACAATGTATGGAAGACTTGAGCCCAGAAAAAGTCAATATTATACTTTTTGATCGGAAATTTAATGAGGAAGACTTTGACCAAGTGGAACCGTGGTTCCAGACAAAGTATTCTAGTGAAGATATACCCAAGGAATGGGTCTCTCGTTGGAAAGAAATTGAACCTTTTGAAGAATTTCATTTGCCTGAACCCANCAAAGTATACGGGTTCAATCAAAAATTACCTGTTAGTAATTAGTCTATTAATTTTTTACTCTCAAATTACTTTTGTTATTCTAAATAATTATTTGTTTTCGCAGCTTTTGTTAAAAAAAATATTTCAAAATATTGTCACCTGTCATGATCTAACCACAGAGGATTTATTTAATGTTATGAAAAGAGAGCAGTGTAAAGAAAAATTCAACACCTTTATAAAACCAAATAAACTTTGTCGGTAAGTATCAGTTTTTTAAATATTTACGTTAAACTGGGCTCATTTCAAAAATTAAATTTTTTTAATGTAAGTGTTAGCGTGCAGTATTAAACTGTTTTTACAAAAAAACTTGGCGATTAAAAATTGTGAAACCGTATTTCAGGGATGTACGATTATCTATCATAACTAAAGGTTATTCAACAGCAATTGAGAAACATACTGCCCTTTGCGACATAGACTTTCATCAGTATCTCCAATTCGCTGAGCATCTGATGGATAACTTGTACATTCAGTGTCTCGCCCAAGGAAACATGACCCGAGAGAATTTGTTGAAATGTGTGTTTGAGTGTACCGAACTATTGAAATTCAGCAAATTAGATTCCAGTGCATACCCACAAATATTAGCTTACGAGATACCGATTGGGGAAAAGTATTGCAAAGTTAAAAGTTTCCTACCCAAAGATGTCAACTCTGTTGTGACCAATTTATATCAATCTGGACTCGATTCTATCCATCTATCTGTTGTGATTGATCTTTTAATGGTGAGTCAATTTTTTCCATTTGAATTTTTATCCCCATTCGTCCCAATTCTTTTGATCTTATTTTGAAAATGTTTTGATAAGAAACCGTTCGATGTATTACTTTTATCAGTGTGTTCTACTGGTTCAGTAGCTAAATACTATAAGCTTCCAACTAAACGATACTTATATTCAAGTCTCGGCTGTACAGAAACTCGTGAAACATGTGAAATTCGAGCTCGATCCTCGGGTACTTCATGCTTTAAACAGTTTATTCAAGCAGTTTACCCAACACACCAATATTTAAATAGGGCATATTTTATATCTAAAAATTAGTAAATTAGCAAATAAGCTTCCCTTGCATGTATTAATAAATAAATGTCACTTTAGTAGCTGCATTTACAGCTGGGTCCTGATAAGTATTTAAATTTTTATCGTTTACTTCACAAAATTGACGTGTACCCTCCTATTTTATAGTGTTGCAGGTGTATCATGGATAAATGGCCTAATTTTAAATGTGTACAAAACTTAAGGTTGTTCAGTCGTCGTATACATGCATGGATAAAAGTCGAGGGGTGTTTCCCTATATATTGAAAACAAAATATTAGATAAAAAATTTGTTTTTCGCGTTAGTTGGAATTAAAATCTTAAAAATAACGATTCTATTGTCGGTTATAAATCATGGTCTGTTTGCTGTTAACTTTTATACGTTAGTAATTTTAAATTTTGAGTAACAAATAACACTTGATAATTTAATTGAAATTAACAAACATTTTTATTTACGTACGAAGTATAAAGAAACTTAAAATTAGATCCCAGAGATTTACTGAAGTACCAAAACCCATGATGGTTTTAAATTTTAAATAACGCTTTTTAAATTAAAATTTCTCAAGATCTAGCAAACAAAGCCCTATCAAACATTGCAAAGAATAATCGTACAGCAAACGGAACAACATACTGAAGTCAACAATAACTAATTCTTTGAAAATGTTTTGCTGTGCTGTGAGCTAACGTAGCGATTAAAAATTTGGTCAGATCGTAGATTGAGACTTGCATAAAGATTGTATGAAAAAAGTTTCATTGATTTCTCATTACTTTGTTAAAACGACAGAACAACCTTAATGCTGCACAAGAGGTTTTGATATTAACTTTACTATAAAATAATTTTAATGGTGTTTTTTTGGAATTAGTTGATCATAGAAGAACCAGTATTCAATATCCTTAGAACCCAAGAGCAATTGGGCTACGATGTTTCGTGTATGCTAAGAGACACGTACGATGCTCTCGGTTTTTCAATAACCGTTTGCACTCAAGCCAACAAGTTTTCTACTGATCACGTGGACAAAAGTATCGAAAATTTTCTTCAAGGCATGATGAAGACCCTCAAAAGCATGTCTCAAGAAGAATACGGTGATTTTAAAAAGTCTCTCATTGAGACCAAAAAATGCGTGGATGTTAATCTCAAAGAAGAGGTTTCTAGAAATTGGTCTGAAATAACTAGAAACAAGTATGTTTTTGATAGATTTGAAAAGGAAATCGATGCCATAGAATCTATTAAGAAAAGCGAGTTGATTCAGTGGTTCAAGGATCACTCATTGAAAGGAAAAAATTTCAGAAAATTGAGTGTTCACGTAGTGGGAACTGCCAATCCATCCACTGATGACAAGAATATCGGTACATATTTATATTTTAATGTATTAATTTTCACGAGATATTTTTAAGATATTAATTATACTTGTTGAATATTTTAGAAACTTGTGAGAATGAAAATAAGGAAAAGGAAAAATACTGCTTACAGTTTTTAACTCTCGAAGATGGTGCGGAAAAAAAGGCTTCAGATGCCTCCATTACAGATATCAAAGCTTTTAAAAGTAAACTGAAGTTGTTGAATACACGTCTATAAAAATTAAGCTCATTCTATTATGAACTCAAATTAATAAAAATAGATTTATGATAATTTGGTACAGGTGATTAAATTGAATAATAAATTAAATTTAATTTAAAACAAATGTTTAATATAGTTGTTGTACCTTTTTAAATCCTTCACTATTTCTGTAAGTTAGTCTACAATTATTAAAACAAATCCCTTAAGAATTAAATTCCAATTTTTTTTAATCAAGTCAGTGAGCACGTGAGTTATTAGTTAATCAAAAACAGTGTTTTTGCATGAATTTGAATATTAAAAAATTTTTTTAATTTATCGTTTAAACTTTAATTTTTGAGATTAAATTTTTTTTCATTTTCTCACCAAGCTACTTGAAAAGGAATTTTTTTTTCATGCATCATGACAACCACAGGAAAACATAAAAAATCGCTGAAATCGATGATAGTTATTTCTTTTTTTTTTAAGCGGAATGTATCTAATTTTTTAAAGACATTTTTAAAAATTAAGAAATATTGTTTGATTGCACATCTTAATTTTTTCATGGTTTCTTAACAAGCTCAACAATCACTCTTTTGAAAAAAAAATACGTGCAACGAATAAGCAAAAATTTGCAAAAGTAAAAATAAAAAATAACGAATACATTGGTATTTATGATTTTTTTTCAGATGTTCATGTAGATATAGAAAGAACATGGATATTTACATAAGAGCAAATGCATGTAAATATAAAATAAAGTTTAAAAAAAAGACATGTTGCAGGTACACAGAATATTCTGCATTACGACTAACGTATTCAATAATTTTAATTTTGAAAAAGTTGTTAATTTGCTAAAATTTATTGTTTTTTAGCAACAATTTATTTTTTGAATTTCACCAATTATTTAACATGACACTATAGTCATGCATCAATAAATATAAATTAAATTATTATTCGAAAAAGTCTTAAATGGAGTTTGGAATGACAAGTATTAACATAGATGCCAAGGTAGGAACAGAGAAATGTGGAAAGGTAGATTAAAGTATGATTATTATAATAAATATTCCAATAACCCTAGTAAAAATTAATAATTTTAGAAGAATACATGATAAAAATTATTGCCTTAAGGCAATAGAGGGTCATAGAGAATAAAATCCTACAAGTGATTACACACTACTAACATACATATAAAGACGTTAATAGTATATTTTAAGTATATGAATAATTGTATAGTACGAATATATGCATTTAAGTCAAATATTTTTCAAAACAAAACAATTTCTTAATCTGGAGGTAGAGTTTGACCAATGACAGGAATCATTCTTTCCTTCATACATTTATAGTACGAGAAAGCCACTTCGCAATTAGTCTGTTGATTGGCTGCAATAATAAATTGATGTGAAATAATTGAGTTGACAAAAATAGTATTAAATTTAAAAATACTAGGTCATACAACATACAAGTTATAAGTGGATTATTTACCTTTATCAACACAATTTTTTACATTTTGTATTGCTTCTTTTCCTTTATTAGAATCATTAGGATTCCCAAAAAATGTTATTATTTTTCTTAGCAATATTTTTCCATCCATAATCTGCAATCACATCACATTAAAAGAAATAACAAATTTTACATTTAATGTTTTACAAAGAAAAATAAAAAATAAAAACTAATTATAACAAGTCCAAGTTTGAGACAATCATAAAATTTATCTTTCTAATAAATATTATTGGTTATTTCTAAGAAAATTTTTATGAAAAGAAAATCGAAAAATTTAGTTTTATTCTCTTATCAAATCATTTTTATGAATAACTATTATGTAGAAATTTTTATCAGTTGCCCTACAACTTTTAAATAATCAATAATAAGTAGCACATACTATAAACTACAAATTTCAGTTAATTATAATTTATAATAGTTATCAGTTTTTTTGTACCTTACGATGTGTCACATATGTCGAGAAAAAAAACTAATAACAACTAATAATTACAGTTATTAAATTCTCTTTTCAGACTTTATTAATTCTTATTATTGGTTTTTATCATTTATCACTGATAATTCATTGATATAGTTTTCGCTTACGCTGCGACACGTTTTTGAGATATACTGCAAATTAAATGATCAAAGGTTTTCTTAAAATAAAGAATGAGCCAGACTTTAAAGTTTCCAGCTTGTTAAAACTCTACGTAATTAAAAAAAAAAAATTTTTTTTAATTTTCTTAAACTAAAACTTGAAACCTAACTTCACATCAAAACAATACATTTTTAATGAAATATCCCATGAGTTATACTTACGATGCCCTGTTTTTCTAAGAGGCAATTATAAAAGCATTTTGCGGTAGGATTTTCACCATCCTGTAATTTTTCTGTAAATTTTTTAAAGTGCACATTAATTAAACTAAGAAAGTGTGTTACTTTATCATTCTAATAAATTTTTTCTATTTAATTAAACCATTAGTTGCTCCAGTTTCAATTTTGCATTCTTCCGTTTCCTTATTCTGAGTCATTTCAGATATTTCTACCTTAAGTGGATAAAAAATTAAAAAAGATAAAAATTACAACAAACAGTCACACATCGCTAATTCTTCTATATCTCAAGAAATAATAATTAGCAAAGTGTTTTTTACTTACGGCTACCAAGGCAAAAATTAGGATGGCAAGTAAACCTTTCATGTTGCTCAAAATCGTTACCTTACTTTAAAATAAAATAAATATTTGTATCATTACAGTCACACTAAATGTCAAGTATATTTATTTATATAGATTTTTAAATTAGAAGGAAAAAGGCATTATTACGTTGCTGCTCGTAATGTAAACAAGAAAATGCGAGCACATAATAGATGTATTTTTGACTAATACACAAAGAAAAAATCAACTCTTATCGACGAAGTACGTGTTATTTTATTTTTGACATAGATAAAGATTCTTTACGAAATTGTTATATAATCTTCAGTTACGATCAACATATACTTTTTTTTTTTAATTTTACATGCTAAATTAATTTAGCAGTTAAAATTAGGTCATTGTGGGATCCACAAAACTATACGTGCTATTTACACCAACCACTATCGTTATTATATTTTTTTTTTTTTATTTTCTTCTCCGACAAGTTACTTACTTGAAAGTACTGCACTTTTCGTTCAAAATTCGTTACTATTTTGATAACTATTACAGCATACTAAAACAAAAATTACTGAAAATCAGCGTCTAAATTTTGACAGATTCGTTTTGCGAGCATTTTTCATTGACAAGACTTGAGTCGCGAGAATTTATCAGTGCATGCGTCATCTTAGACTGCAGTTGAATTTTTAATCTGTCAATAGTAACTGCGGGTGCAAAGATAAGCGGTAGAAAGAAAAAAAAAAACGTAAGGCATAAACACTTCCAAACTAGAAATTTTTCCTTCAGTGTGGAGTGTTACGTAAGGCAAATGAACGGAACAGAACGCGATATTTTGTTTCATTGTAAGATTTATTAAAACGACGTAATCACAACAAAATAATCAGGAAACAGACCACAAAACTAGTGATTCTCGTTGGGATTCAATCTTTCAAAACGACCCCAAAGTCCACCTTTGATGTACATCATCAACGAGGCTGGGTCGTACTCCAAAGGCCTCCTTGTCTTTTCCGAGTTTTCCACGGAATACTTGATAAGCAGATTCACTGCCGCGATTTTCACCAACATCATCCCCAGTCTTATCCCAATGCACATCCTCGGACCCTCTCCGAAAGCCAAGTAAACGAATCTGTGGCGACTGGCCACATTTTCTGGACTGAACCTGTCCGGGTCGAAGGTTTCTGGTTCGGGCCAGTACGTTTCGTCCATGTGCAAAGCCGATACTGGAATGAAGGCGAGGTCACCCGGTTTCAGGTGGAACTTCAGCCCATCCGATCCCATGAGCGTGATTTCCTTGGTGCACTCCTTGAACTGAGTGCCAAAGGGTGGCAAGTAACGTAATGTCTCGAAGATCACCTGATCCAAGTAGTTCATGTCCTTCAACAACTCGTAGGTCACAACTCCATTGTTCTTTTTGAGCACGTCGAGAATGTGTTGGCGCAGCTTAACTTGTATATTTTTGTTCTGCGAGAGGAAGTAGAACAGCGTGGCCAGGGTCGTGCTCGACGTTTCGTAGACGTCACCGTAAAAAATCAACACGTCGGCGATGATGCTGTCGATCTCGCGCTCACCGTTCGAATTTATGCAGAACTGCAGGTAGTCGTTCGGCGCGACGTTGGACATTGTTCTCTCTTTCAGCACGGCACGGATGTTTTCGCGGAAGTAGCTGTCCGCTTTTTGCTCGAGCAAACTCACCTTCAGGAAATTCCCGACCCTCGGCACGTAGAACAGTAACGCCTGTTTGATACCGTTGATTAGAGTTGGTGCGAACAACAGCTTCACCGCGTTCGTAAAGGACAATTGGTCGGGCTCGTCCCTGAAACTCTGTCCCTGGACTCCCAGAGCGGCGTTTGCTACGATCTCACCCGTGTACTTCACGAAGGTTTCCTTCAACTCGCACTCGAGGGAGCCGTTGGTCTCCTTTATTTTCCGATCGATGTAGTTATCCATTTTAGAACATACTTCATTTATAATCACGAAGAGATGTCTCAATTTTTTGCCCGTTAGGTGACTGCCAGTGCGCGTCCTTGCTGTTTTCCAAGCGATCAAATCGGTAGCGAAGAATGGATTTTTCGAAAAAACCGGGTCGACTTTTTCATCCAAGTGGAATCCGTTGTTGTGGAAACTATTGAAGTGCGTTTGCAAAACACTTTTCACCAGTTCTGGATCGCGGACAATCAAGCCAGGCGTTTGCAGGAAGTAAAAACCAATCGCACTCGCGTTGGTTTTCTTGTACGCGTCGATGGAGAATATACTCATATTTTTTTTCAAAGTTATGATGGGCAGCATGTGACCAAACACGGGCACAGGATTAGAGAGAAATGGCACATGTTGTTTTGACCAATAATTGTAGTGTCTTGTTGCAAACCAATATGTAACTAATGTTAATACTATTAGTATTAACAACGAAAGGAACAGTTCCATTATGCAGTTGCCGAGATACTAAATTGCTAGCGATCCATTCGGTTTCATCTGCACGGAGTCTATACGTAAGGAAGTCGTTATCAAATAATGATGTAACAAGTTTAAAGTGATTTTGTTCAGTGTCAAATTTTTAACAACTACGTCAATGTCATTGTCAAAGTGAAAAATCTTCCTTATCTTGAATAACAAGAATTATGCAGTATTTTTTAAATAGTTTTAAAAATTTGTAAAAGACGTAATCAGTTATAAGAATCTAATCTTTTGATCGGCATGTACTACTTGGTGAATTTAATCATTATTATCTGAAGGAAAGGTGTTGAATACAAGAATTTTTTTTTTTTTTGTACAAAAATTATTTATTAAATTCAATCAATTTTACATTAAAAATTTAATTAATAAATCCATACGTTTGTATGACTAATAAACCAATTGATTCATACTTACACAATAAACAAAAATAATGACGTAACTTTATTTACCATACCCTTTGTGGAGGCTTGAAACCTACCCCACAAAACTAATTTTTTATTATTACAATACATTTTTAATCAATCAAGAAATGATTATCTTAAAAATTGCTAGTTAACATTTTTTAATTATTTTTCTGATCGAAGGGAGGATCACTAATGGCTATAATGATAAAGTTAAAGTACAACCCCATCTTACACCATATCAAAATATGAAAAGTACTGGATTGCTAGTGGGTAACACTGATCTCTATTCTGACACACGTTGATGCATGATAATAATTTTATATGGCCATCTGTACATAACACATACACACTAAACACTAACTTCAATCACTTTGTTTTAAAAAAATATTTTTTTAATGTGCAGTGACTGTCTTGCTACTCTTTTATCAACAATAAACATTATATATTATGCATGTGTATGTTATCAACTTTCTTAAATATCTTACTACCAGTGTGTGAGTGAATAAAATTAAAAAGTTATTCGTAGAATATTTTGAAATACACTGTATAATCCACAAGGTAACCTTAAAAATATGTTATATGAATATTTATTGGCTTTAAAGTACTAACAAGAATTAAGTTTAATAACTCATTGATTAGTTAATAAAATGATAAAATTTAAGTACATTATTATCGTGACTGCAAGTTATTTTTAAAAACTTTAAAATTAAACACAATTTAGAATTAACAAAGGTCCGAAAAGTGTTAAACATTTTCGAAATTGATTAGAATATTTATAGCTTATACATAGAGCATCTACGATCGTAAGTTCAAATTTTTTAGCAATATTTATTAAAGTAATGATCATGTAAGGTTTTACATATTTTTAAATCATCAATTAATCGACTCGTACGTCAAATTACGGTTATCATTTCTTCGAAGCTTATCAATTTCGAATAAACAGATAAATTCAAACGTTAATGGTAAGAAAACATACACATCTTGAGTTTTAAATAGCATTTAGCAACGGGAGAAGTAGTACTGGAGAACTTACTCACAATGTCGCTGAAAGCAAATCTTATTACGCTAAGTAATGGACATAAAATTCCTGCCTTGGGACTTGGAACATGGCAGGGAACTGTAAGTAGATAATAAATACTCTACGTTGTCAAAAACGAAAGTTTTCGAGCCAATTTTTTCTTAATAAGTAGTGTGCACTGTTTTAAAAATGCTAATGAACAAAAAATTTTTTTTTATCAGCTTCCCATGGTTTTAAAAAAATGTTGTGATAACGTTGCTAAAATATTTAAAATTTACGCTGCTTATTGTGATTACAAATCACTTCTGGTCTTCTTTTGAAATTAACTAAGTAGTAGAAACTGCTACCGTCCAGACGATAACCCTTAAAGCATAAGACTAAAGTTTTCATAACAATTTTCAGTGATAACAATTTAATTTAAATTTATTCATTTAAACAATAGTGGGACTACTGTATTTTAGTTCTTTAATGTTCGTATTCTCATTTATATGGTAACATCACTAATCACGTAAAAACTAACGGGAAATTAGTCCAAAAGTGATTATTAGTCACAAGAAGTAGAAGATATTTTTAAATAATTCATTTAAAATGCAAAGTGATAAAGTTATAAAAAAATTTTTTTTCCACCTTTTTTTAAACCTTGTACTGTGTAAAGATTTGGTTATTTAGAATAATTGCACAACACACACATTATAGTTAGAGTAGATCATTGTTGTTATCATTATTTTTTTTGTTATTGAATTTTTTAGTATTGATTTTATTTAGTTTATTTCCGTACAACATTGACACATTAAGCGTTTTTTAAACAATACTCTTAAGAAATTATTAATTATAGTTTGCAATTTTTTGATACAAAAGTTTGATAAATTCCTTAAAATATTTTATTTTTCTTTCTTCTAAGGATGATCCGGGAGCGGTTGAAAAAGCAGTAAAATTAGCTATCGATTTTGGCTACCGACATTTTGACTGCGCATCGGTTTACGGGAATGAGAACGAAATCGGCAAGGCGATAAAACAAAAAATCGAAGAGGGAGTGGTAAAAAGAGAGGACATCTACATTGTCACAAAAGTAAATAATCAAGTAAAATATTAGTAAATAAACTTAAACATTTTTAAAAAGTATTTTATCGAATTTAAATTAATGTTCATATAGTTGTGGAATGATGAACACGATCCAAAAGCAGTGATCCCGGCATGCAAAAGATCTTTGAAGAAACTGGGCTTGAATTATCTCGATTTGTACTTGGTTCATTGGCCTTTTTCTTATCCCGTAAGTCTTAAATTATAAACATATCTTAAACTTCTTATCAATTCATATGCGATGAAACACGAAAACATACTTACGATGCATTTATTCAATAAATTTAATTTATCGATTTTCTCTTAAACAATAATCATGAGTTATTGTAATATATAAAACAACAATTCACAATTTTCTGTGAAAAATTCGTAAACACGATGAAAACACAACATTAGCAAACAATAAAACGAATCAGATCATCCGTTCCAACTAGTGATTCCACGTGACGCGCCATCGGAAAAATTCCATCGCACGTTGCTTCATTCGATTTCTCCTACAGGATGAAGTAGACTTCGTCGAGACATGGCGAGCCATGGAAGAGTGTGTCAAGCTGGGGCTCACGCACTCCATCGGTGTCAGCAATTTTAATATCGAGCAACTGACGAGGCTTCTGGATTCAGCCAGTATAAAGCCGGTGATGAACCAGATCGAAGCCCACATCAATTTGAATCAGAAGGAACTGCGGGACTTTTGTCACAGTAAGGGCATCGCTGTCACGGCTTACAGTCCGTTCGGTGCTCCTGGACGTGATTCCGTCTTCCAACCACCTGGTCCCGAAGTCAATCTTGATTCACCCGTCATAGCTGAAATCGCCAAAAAGTACAAAAAATCCAATTCTCAGGTTGCATTGAGATATTTGGTGAGCTTTATTTTTTATTCGTTGGAATTCATGATTTTAACGAAGTTATTTGAATTAAATGAAAATTTCTTTGTATGGTTACGAATTTTAGATTGATGTTGGCACCATTCCTATACCAAAGTCAAGCTCAAAAAAACACCTAGAGTCCAACATTGACGTTTTCGATTTTAAATTAACAGAGGAAGAAATATCTGCAATAGAAAAACTTGAGCGCGGCTTCAGGACCTGTCCTGCCACCCAGTACGTTTGCTAGGATAATAATTTTTTTATTTTGATTTTTGTTTGATATAATCTATTATAATTATTATTACTTTTTAGGTTTAATAATCTCAAAGAATATCCATTCCAGGAGCCCAGAAAGAAGAAATAAAACCTCAGTTTGTAAATAAAAGTTTTTAATTTTTTTATTTCACATATTTATAACCGCATGTTTACTTGCACAAATTTATTTTATTGGGATAGTAAAGCTGTTAAGTAGCTACTTCAGATATACATAAAATAGTTTTATGTATTAAGTTAGTGACCTAATATTTTTTAGAAATAATAACTGGAGATTGCATGTATACTAATATTCACTATGTATTACAAAATTTATAAATATGAAATATTTTTCTAGGTGATAATATATTGAAAGCTTTAATAACTATCAAAAATGATTTTCTTTATTTTCAATCTCTATGCAGACTTGTTTAAAAAATATAGCATGATTATAAGTTATGATTAATTGTTATTAACACTATTTACACTAAAATTAATTAATCAATTGTTGAAATATGGTTGAATTCACATTCAAAATTTATTTTCCATAATTGGAAATCCACTAAGTTGTGGACTTGAAACTATTTTTGTAGTTTAAATCGAAAATGAGTTAAGTATGCATAAAAGTGCATCCAAAAACTCCTTAGCTAATTTTTCGTCAAAATTCTCTCTTAATTTGACTTTTTAACGTATCAATAATAAATAGGAATCAATAGTCTGTTTTTTTTTAAATAATAAATTCCGTTTGTTTTTACGTTTGAGAAGTAATACATTTAGGGAGTGTATGTTGATAACATACGTATTTATAAAAATACGAACGGTAATAAAAATGTTTGTTACACAACATATTTTCAGAACGAAACATTTGTATCCTTAAAAAAATAACTATTAAAGGTACATATAAACTTATGGAAAAGGAGTATCATTTAGTTATACAGTTTTTTACTTGTTTCTTATATTTATTCTTCACCATAAAACGCATATTATAATAAATAGTAACTATTATTGTGGTGGCGGTATTTATACTTGAGCTTTTATCCACATTAATCCAAAAGTAAATACTTAGTCCGTAATAAGTGTAATAAAATAAATGTAAAGATGTATACGGTATTTGAATAATGTCTATGTAGGGAAATCCACAATAAATACCCTATTTTTAAAATGAGTCTGGTTTCAGGGGTGTGCCTCAAAAGAAATTTTTTTACTAAAATGGGGGACAAAAATTAGATATTTTTTGTGGATTTCCTCATATAACAGGTAAGATGGTAGAGGCACATATTGTATCAACACTTCCGTAATACAAGAAAGCTAGAAAATGTTATGAAAATGTTAATAACTTTGTAAAATGGGTATTCAGTAGCATGATAAATGTGAATAACCAAATTCAAGTTTGGTACACGCCACTTGCTATAAAAAGCAAGTACCAAGGCTCTGATAAGGTCACCAACATTGTAATTACGTGGTACATTTTGAGAAACAGGAACAGGAAAGTAAGAAAATTTTTTTTGATACATCAAGTACAAAAAACGTTTGAAACTTGTTAAAAAATTCAGAAATGAAACTTGTTAAAATTCAAAATTTAAGTATTTTTTAGTTTGGAATTTTTGTGGAATTCATATTATCATTATGAGTATCATTTATCAGTACAGCTATTTCTAGAAAAATTAATATGACATATTTAGTTTCTCATTTTTTTTTGGAGATGATAATTTATAATATAATATGGTGTTGTTTCATAGATTAGAAGAAAATTTTTTTCTTTAATTATAATTAGCATATTCGGCAATAATATTTATTGAAATTATAGTCATGAAATTTCATTGGACTAAAAGATGCTTATTATTTTTTTTGACGTATCTTTAATTTTTTGGACAGAATTAAACTAGCTTAAGAGATTGTACGTTTTTTTGTTATATTTGAAAATTAGTAAGTGCTTTGTCAAGTACGTCTACTCAAAAGTATTTTATTGTATGAGTATATACAAGGATATTTCACTTTCTCATTACAAAAGAATTTTTTTAAATTACATGCATAAAGTATAATCCAACTAAAAAAATACGTAAATAAAAATCTTTTCAGTACCATCAAAAGAAAAAGAGTATACATCAACTGAAAGATCATTGGATCGGAAGCTGAATACCATAATACGATACTAATCTATTATCTTAATCACCTGTCGTGTCAACAAAATTATAAAACTTCTTTTACGTGGATGTGACATAAATCAATTTTTTTTATCTCGATAAACGTAAAAGTTTACTAGTTCTTGCAAGAAAACTCACATTCAGTAATTGTTGTATATAATATTAATTTTTCGTACACGCTATACTATTCAGTTACATAAAAGACGTCTCTGGCGCAGCATCTACGTATTTATAACCATCGAAGTATCGCGGCAAGTGTTTCGAAAAAATAAGGGACTTTTCATGCAGTAAACATGGTCGTGCCTAGTATTACTTTCAACGATGGAAACAAAATGCCGATGTTCGGCCTTGGGACATACTTGGTAAATTAAAAAAATTTTTATTTTGATTTAAATGTATTTGAACAAATTTAATTGAATCTAATACATGCATCAAAGTCCGCTGCAATGTCAAGTTCAGAATGTTTGAGTTCTACTTTTACGTATGCTCGAGTAGAACTTGAGCCAAAAGAGTAAACTTTTCTTTGTATGCGTGTATGCTTAAATACAATAATAACAAAAACGTTTTTTTTTTTTTTTAAGTCCAAGCCTGGAGAAGTAGCTGAAGCAGTAAAGTATGCGATTGAAGTTGGCTATCGGCACATTGACACAGCATTTTTTTACGAGAACGAAAAAGAAATTGGCGAGGCCATTCGTGAAAAGATAAACGATGGAACTATAAAAAGAGAAGACATTTTTGTGACAACAAAGGTTAGTTAATATTAATATAGATTTTTAATATAAAGGTACGAATCGCTTCAATGTAAAATTTTTTAAAAGTAGTTAAGGGATTTTATGACTGTTGCTATTGAGGTAGTTAAAAATAAACTTGATGAGATTTTTTGAGTTTTCCTACTATACAATTTTTTGGATAAGTTAGAACAAAGAGTTATGACTATTCTTGTAAAACAAAAATTCTGATTCTTGTACAACACTACTAATAGTTTTAAAAATTACTTGTACATAAAAACTATAACTCATCAGATTAAAAAAAAAATTTTTTTATTTGATTGAAAAACACTAAAATTAAAGTAAGCCCAAAAACAAAAACATGTTTAAATAAATAAATATATGAAACAAACATTAAAAAACTAATCAGGAAATAATTAATTTCCAAACCTTTTTGTCACCACGTAAAATTTATTGACACCTGAAATACAAGACTCAACTTTTGCACTCTGTATAGGGGATATTATATTTCCACCTTCTCTGATGGAAACCAAGTGCTTTGCGCTAGCTTTCCTGAAAAAGTGTAGAAGTTCAGCCGCGTGACCTCTTTTTTGACAATATATGCAACGTTGCTCAGTCAGAAAAAATTTTTCTCCTGCGAGGATCATGTATTGAATACCCAGTTATGTTTTACAATATTAGTATCATTTCCTAAAATATTTATTTAATTTTTACAGTTATGGAACAACAGTCACAAAGAGCATGAAGTTGTGCCAGCATGTAAGCTATCTTTGAAAAACTTGGGCTTGGATTACATTGACCTTTATCTTATTCATTGGCCTATAGCCTTCAAGGTAAAAGGCATTAATCTATGAAAGAATACCAACTTATTGTTTTCTTAAGCGTTATAAATATGTTAAATTATTCCATTATTTTACAGTCAGGAGATGCACTGACGCCAAGAGATGCTTCCGGAAAAATTGAATTCGATGACACAGATTATCTTGAAACCTGGCGAGGAATGGAGAAATGTAAGGGCCAAAATCTCGTTCGAAGTATTGGTGTTAGTAACTTCAATGCTGAGCAGCTTGCGAGATTATTATCTCAGGCCAAAATAAAACCAGTCAATAATCAGGTATGAGTTTTACTGTTGCAGGATAAATAATAGGTTTTTAGATCATGTGTCTCATTTTTCGAAAAATTTTACTGGATTTTTTATTCTATCAAGATTTCATGAAGCTGATAATCATAGTTTTGAGTAAACTACTATTGAATATAGGATAATGGTTCATTTTTTACTTTAAATATATGTAATTAAAAATAACTAGTTATCTTTTTTACTTAAAAAATATAGGTTGAAATTACCCTAAACCTAAATCAAAAAAGTTTAGTAGAATTTTGTAAGAAGAATGAGATAACAGTTACTGGGTTTTCTCCTTTGGGTAGACCTGGGAATCGTTATGGAATTAAAAACTTGTGGGATGAACCTATAATACAAAGTCTTGCAAATAAGTACAACAAAACTCCTGCCAACATTGCCTGCCGATTCATCGTAAGTATATCGTATAAATAAATTGGATATAGTGATGATCCCAAATGTATATCAAACAAATGTATGTTTATATTTATTTCAGCTGCAATCTGGAGTTTCTCCGATACCTAAGTCTGTAACAAAGTCGCGAATAAAGGAGAACTTTGATATTTTTGATTTTAATCTAACTCCAGAAGAACTTCAAGAAATTGAGAAATTAAACACTGGCTCTAGAGTAGCACCTTTCTCTGAGTAAGAAATAAAGTAACTTAATTAAATGATTTAGAGTTACATGATGACACTAATTTTTAATATTGTTTTTAGAGGAAAAGAATCCAAATACTATCCATTTTGATGGTCTGTAAATATTTAAGAATGTTCTGTATCCTAAAAAGTATTTACATAATTAGTTACCTTGTACATAAATCTGTATAAATAATAATATAAAAAATATTCCAAAACCTTTTATTTGCTTCTCATACACTCCATCTATAGAAAATCGATTATCTTAAATAATTCAATTGATAATAATTATTAGTAATTAAGACATCATTATTGACTGTTATAATAGACTCATCTTTATTTGTTAATTTGTTAATTTTGAAGTTGTTTTTGTTTTTTTACCATCGATTTTTATAAGTAATTAATAATTTATTAGATCAAACTAATTAATAATTTATATATTCATCACTAACTGAATACTAGTGTGCTAAATACACCTTATAATTCTAAAGAATCTAACATTTTATGAAGGTAGTCGTGCATGTGACATTTACTGCGAACATGGTTCTCCCAACTGTAACATTTAGTAATGGGCATAAAATGCCCATGTTTGGTCTAGGAACATATTTGGTAAGAATACAAAAACTGTTATTCCTATGAAAAAATGTTCTTCACAAAATTATAATTAATATTCAAATACTACAGTAAATATAAACATCCTAACCTTACTCATGTAGTTTTAGATACTATTTACCAATACAGGATTTTTCTGCTTGATACCCTCTATTTAGACTAGTGCCGAGATGTACCAATAATAAATATAGATCATTTGGGGTAAAGTGGTTTTTTTTATCTCATTTAACACCGTTTATACCTAATGTGTATAGGTGTAGAGAAAACGTATTTCTAATACTTCAGAGCTCACGTTTCTCAATAACGTATACGACATCAGGCTATTTAAATAATATATCTGATAATCTTACTTCTGAAGAATAGATTATCTAAAACAAATACAGTATTATAAAAAGTAGTTTTATTCGCAAGTCTATAAATTCTAATTTTGAGATTAAATACATTTTAATACTTAATAATTCAAAAACGGTTTTCAGTCGATCCAACAGATCGTCCTTTAACAAAACAATCTTAATAAGTTATTTACACGTACAGCGATTACGATTAGTCGAAATTGTTACAAAAAAATTTTATATTCCTTATTTTGTTGGCATAATTGTATTTTCGTTATAATTAAATTAAATGTTTATATAGTCACAACCAGGAGAAGTAGAAGAGGCTGTCAAATACGCAATCGATACTGGATACCGACATATTGATACCGCATCCTTCTATGGAAATGAAAAGGAAGTTGGAATTGCGATTCGAGAAAAAATTAAGGAAGGAGTCATAACAAGAGATGACGTTTTCGTAACTACAAAGGTTAATAAGGAACTATACAACCTTTTATAAATCAAAATTATTTCAACAATTTATTTCTCATTTCAAAATTTCACAATACTAACAACAGTTAACAGTAATATTGTGAAAATTATTTATATGAAGTATATCGAATGATCGGTGAATTGAAATATTCATTTATATATTGAATAATTCAAAATTATTTTTTTAGCTCTGGAGTAATGCTCACAAAGAAAGTCAAGTGGTTCCTACTTGCAAAAAATCATTAGACAATCTGGGATTGGAATTCATTGATCTCTACCTCATTCATTGGCCATTTGCTTTTAAAGTAAATAACATACATACATACCTATTTTAATACTTTATTTACATGAAAATTTACTACAGTAATCATTCACTATAGTGAGCATTTCGTACAGGTCTATAACGAGAAAATATTTTTTAAACATAATTTTTAGGAAGGCGAGGAATTATTACCGAGAGACGCTTCTGGAAAATTGCAATTGTCTGACACCGATTATATAGACACTTGGAAAGGAATGGAAGAATGTAAGCGCCTTGGGCTTGCTCGAAGTATTGGCATTAGCAACTTTAATTCCGAGCAAATTACCAGAATTCTCACAGCAGCGACAATCAAACCAGTGAACAATCAGGTAAATGCGTATTTTTAAATACGTAAGTTAATAATTAATTATTAGTTTTTATATGAAATAAATTCGATGGCATTAACAGTATACCTTTGTATGGTATTTTTTCTTAGATCGAAATGTCTTTAAATGTAAATCAGGAACCCCTGATTGAGTTCTGTAAAAAACATGATATTACTGTGACTGGATATTCACCCCTTGGAAGACCCGGTAATCGTTATGGCGTCAAAAATTCATGGGACCATGCAACGATTCAATCGTTAAGCAAAAAATATAGCAAGACACCGGCCCAAATAGCATGTCGATATGTAGTGAGTATCCTAATTAAGACGATTATTGAATGAATTTGGTAGAGCTAGAGTAATCATGTCAAAATAAAAAAATTTAGTTTCAAATGGGAGCAGCTCCAATACCAAAGTCCATAACAAAAGAGCGTATAAAGGAAAATTTCAATATCTTTGATTTTGCTTTGACTGACGAAGAAATCAAGTCGATTCAATCAATTTCGACCGGTGAAAGGGTTGCGGAAATGAAAGAGTAAGATTTTTATATCATGTACGATGCGTAATGTAATATTGAAATTGATTAATCATTTGTTCTTTATTTTTATGTTTCAGGGCTAAAGAATCCATACACTATCCATTTAACATTCCTTACTAGATGAGAGTAAATACGTTACACAGATCACCGCTACCCAGATCAAAAAATCTAAATGCCAAAAATTATTGTGTGATTTAACAGTTCAATCATTTTTCAAAAAAATACAATTAATCACCAGACCAAATTATACTGAGATATGTCGTATGTATTATTTATAAGAATAAGACTCTTTCAAAATTACATAAAACGACAATTTTTTTACTAATTTTTTAAATTAAACAATGTCTGCCAGTTGATAAGAAATCATAGTTTTGCTGATCTTTAGGATAATAAATAAATGAAATTATATATTACTAAAACTACTTTGATAAACTTTATAAATGGATCCAGATTATTTGTTTCATCAAGTATGATATAATTCTTTGCATTTCTGATGACAAATAAGTTTATTTCACAATGTAAACATCGTATTTGCCGCCATGTACGACTACGGTATGTTGTGGTGATGTGCATTACCTTTATACAAAGAGTAAATTATTTTCTTAATCACACAAAGCAAAAGCCAATCTTAATTTCTGTGGATGTTAATGTTAATTTGAGATAGAGTTTATCTGGTAGATAAAAACAGTACCTTCAATTTTTTTATTTGCTTGGTTATCTTATCAATATTAATCTTTTAAAAGTAAACGTCACACTTGCCAATTCAATGACAGCCAGTCAGAATATAATATCACTGATTTGACAGAGGGTCATGAAATAAATTTTTCTTGGTGAATGCTCAGTTGTTTATTAACACTCTTCCAAAATGCAAGTTCCATATGTTACTCTAAATGATGGTTATAGAATGCCGTTCTTTGGTCTTGGCACATATTCAGTAAGTAGCGTTGAAAAGAGTTTGAATTTATTTTGTGTAAATTGCGATTAAATTTTATGACCTTATGATTTTACTCTGAAGCTAGAAATTTTTTTTTTTTTTTTATTGACGGTAGAGGATTGATTTGTAATTTTTATAATTCATAAAATGTACGTAATTTAAAACTCTTTAAAGTAGGGTTTTGTATCACTTTTTTCACTTATTTGATATAAGTTACCTAACATAAACTAAAACCATTTTATAATATCAGAAGATGAGAAGATGAAATAGTTTTCAACATTTTCTGATATCCCTTACCACAAGTATTTCCAATTTACGTTTTAGTTGAAAGGAGATGAAGCCGAAGCTGCTATTGAATATGCTATTGACATTGGCTATCGACATTTTGATACAGCATATCTATATAACAATGAAAAAGAAGTTGGAAACGCAGTTCGAAAAAAAATAAACGATGGCACTGTAAAAAGAGAAGATCTTTTCATTACTACAAAGGTCAGTTGACTTGAAATATTAATTATATTATCAAAGCAGAAAATGACTGGTATGGACAAAATTAGTGTAACTTTAATTTACTCAGTTTAATTTTGTAATGAAACTTGATGATATTTATTGTATTGCTGAAAATATTATGATTATACATTTCAGTTAAATTTGAAAACACATCACGAAAGTATTGTTATAGTTTCTTGCAAAGAATCTTTAAGAAGGCTTGGCTTAGACTATGTTGATCTTTTCCTTATACATAGTCCAGTATCCCTAAAGGTATATTAATAATACAATTAATTTAAGATGTTAACAAGTGATGGTTAAAGATTTTTTTTATTAATCAGGAAACTGATGATAATGAAAAAGTATTACCTTCTGATATTGATTATATTGAAACATGGCGGGGAATGGAGGAATGCAAACGTCTAGGACTTGCTCGTAGTATTGGAGTTAGTAATTTTAATTCTGAGCAGATTGAAAGGTTAATTTCTGCTGCGAAAATAAAACCAGTTAATAATCAGGTATTTTTTATGTTAAAATCAACATTCATAGAATAACCATCGAAAGTAAACTGGACTTGGTAATTAAATTTCTTCTTTATGAATGCAGATTGAAGTAACTTTAAATTTGAATCAAAAATCATTGATACAATTTTGCAAAAATCATGATATCACTGTTACTGGATATTCGCCACTTGGTAAACCAAATAAGCGACCACATATTAAAGACCTATGGCAGCATCCAAAGGTTCAGGACCTGTCGAAAAAATATAACAAAACTCCTGCCCAGATCTCTTTAAGATTTGTTGTTAGTACAAAACATAATGAAACATTTAATAAATCTGAAATTTCTATTGATTAGAAAAAACTTTTTTAGCTCCAAATGGGTGCAGCTCCGATACCAAAGTCTTCTTCAAAGACAAGAATTATGGAAAATTTCGACGTTTTCGATTTTAACTTTTCGGATGAAGAAATGAATGCACTTCAAGATATTGGATCTGGAGACAGAGTAGTACCACTCAATGAGTAAGTTTCATAGCATTTCAATTAAGTCTTGCTTTGAAAATGTTTGGCATTAATTTGTTATATCTCTTTTTTCAGACTAAAAGACGCGAAGTACTATCCATTTAATATTGCTTAGTAATGTTTACAACATCCACTTATTATCAAGTTTAAACAACTGCTCTCAATAATTACAAGTCAAGGAATCTGAAATCAGCCCAAAACAAATGTGTTGTGGTACAAGCCAATACCAAATAGTTTGGTAACATTCCAACATATCAGGAGAATTACAAAAAATATTGACACTACTATACTACTGTGGATCTACGTCGTGTATAAAATAAAATTAAGTTTATTAAAACTAGAAATTTTTTAATTAAAATAAAGATGTCTATTAGAGTCTATTTACTGTAACCTCAGTATCGAAGATGCAAAATTATTTACATATTTTCAAAATTAGACTTAGTAACTTTAGAAGAAAAAAAGACAACTTCTATGAACAATATGGTGATGTTTTTTCATCTCTTTTGAAGGTTCAATTTTATGCACCATTGCAAGTCAGCTTGAGATTCTAGGATTGGTGATATTACATCAAAATAACACAGCTTATAGATTAAAGTTAGTTGGATGGGATATCTAGCTGACGGAAATAAATAACTAATCAGGCAAAGAATAGAAAGTTATTTTATATAAGCTTAACCTTTAGTTACCATGTGAAAGTCAAAATTAACTTTCATAATACAACTATGATTTGATTAGCCTAGTGGGCTATTTATGCTTGTGTAAAACCTCAAGTAGAAATGGTAAACATCATGTAGTATATTACGTACGAGTTTGCAAAGGCTTCGACTTACGAACCGAAAGGTTTACGGCACGAGCCGAAGGCGAGGGCTGTAACGAGGTTCGTAAAGAAGTCTTTTCGAACAAGTTTTGTATACTATTTTTTCGCCTGAGAACCCAAAATCAAGCGGCGAAGGTGCTAGGTTAGAAGGCGGAAAAAACACTTTTTTGATATTTTGACAGCTAAGTGCCACTGATTAGATCTAATTTTAACAGAAAAAAAATCTTTACACATTTTTTTATAACTCGTTGAAATTTTATCGTGGTTTCTCATCACAATAATAATAAGTATAACGCAAAAAAAAAAACAAATTCATACAAATTAAAGTAAATTTCGCTTTAGGTGCGTACGGGTATTTAAGATCTAGTCTACTAACAAGGGACTCAAGTATTAGAAGAGAAACATTACAAATTTTACAGAATATAATTTATTAAATTCATAATTTAGATGCCTTTAAAGGTTCATTGTTCGTAATAATTTTAACCGTATGTATCAGTATAATACTTTGAATGGGAATATTTTTTTGGTTGTGAATTATAAGTTTAATTATTACTCAAGGACGGTTTTTACTATCTAGCTTTTGATTTGCAGTACATTATTGTAGTGCGTTTTGTTGATTTCTAATAATTTTTTACTCGAAATCAATAATGTTTAATTGATATAAATAACTCTTGGCAATAAAAATAAATACAAAAAAAATATTGCTTTAGCTGGATGAACTACAGAATCGCTTGAATTATCTCGCTAAATTTTACTTGAAAAAAAATTACCCATAAGCAATACCCATATTTACTTGTAAATTACATCGGTAATGGCTATTAGAATGTTATAAAATATTTATTACAATTTTAAATTTGCATTTAAATTTTTTCGACAGTGTCTAAACTTAAGTTTAACGGAAAATAAGGAAATAGTGTTTGCAACGCGAGAAATTAAACTATTGTTATAATTGAGCCGAATTAAAATTAATTCGTGTAAAGAGAATAAAATAAACGAACGTATGAACTTCAAAAGCAGAGGAAAGTAGGGATAAATACTAGGAGTGACTTTAATGTTTGTAATATATGGGTCATTTTACAAAAATGAAATATTTTAGAATGCCATTGAAATTTCCTAAATAAAGTGTTTAAAATTGTTTTATTATTTTCTAAAAGTGCTATGTAACAAATTGGAAACTGTTAAGCTCGACTCTACGGTCATTCTTAAACTATTGTTAATTTTTCATGCAATTTTTCACAAGATAAAAAAAAACACTGTTATTTTACTTTAGTAATGCTGCTATTTTTGCATTTCCGAAACCCTAATTGTGTACCCAACGCTATGGTAACATGTTGATAGTTAGAAAACCATTGATATTAGGTGCACTACGGTAATGACCGATTATTTTGTGGAACACATGATCTACTACAACAAGCCGCATTAGAATTCGGGAGTGCAAAAAAATTGATGGTGTTCTCCTTCACTCTGAAATATAAAATGATCCGTTCCAAGCGTCAAAGAACTTGGCCACGTTGAATCAATTGTTGTATGTCACTTAGAAGTGTTGAAAGTTTATGACTAAAACGTCCCGTGTTTTAAAAAAAATTTTTTTGTAATAATCCATTGTGAAAATCAACCCTCAAACTCAGACTTTAGTACAGAAGTACCAAGGGTCACGCCAACAAATTTTTCGACTCTATTTTGAAAACATGTTTAGGAAAAATTAATTTACATCTTTAAAAAAAGTACTGACTTGAAATAATTGAATCCGTTGTTTTTAAACAAAGGCTTCATAGAGTGTTGCAGTTTTTGTGAAATGGCCCATGTATGCGTATTGCATGTATACAATCGTTCTCTGTTCAGTAGTTTCGTACACATGCACTAACTCACGATAACATCGATATGCCCCTCGCCGCAGTCCGTGGCAACGATATAAGTAGCAGCAGAGGTGCATTTTTCCAGAATTCCGTGCCGCACGAGGTTCTGAATTTTTCGTTTAGTTAAAAGGAATACTTGACACACCAATTTGCACTCAAAAGACGTTACGAAAAATCCGACTGATTCGAAGATGGCTTTGAACGTGCCAAAAATTAAGTTTTACAACGGCGACGAAATTCCTGCTTTCGGCTTGGGAACATGGAAGGTGAGGTTATTAACCAAACGTCTTGTTTTGTTATTATTTAATAGTAAGCTGTTTTGATCATTAAAACACCTGACTTCTTCATCTGATGGTTATACTTAAGTTGGCACCTTTCGATCGAATATTTTATTTAAATTCGAAAAATACCGGTTTTGTTTTCTTCTTCAATAATCGGCAAGAGCATGAAATGAATATTGTCGTTGAGGAAATGTTTTCAAGGTTTAATTCAAAATAAAAAACCATTTTTCAATAATTTTCTTATAGAAGAAGTAAAAAAGTTAAAAAATCAACATTTTTATAAATTAACGTGAAATCGCAGTAGATCTTGTAAAATTAAAAAATTATCCATCACAATATCTGTGTTTGTTGATGTCATTTCTGATAGGGGCATAATTCAAATTTTCGTATCAGTATTTCATAATGAAAAAACAATTTTTTTAATGTATCAAAATCAATCGATACATTTCAAGGCCCAAACTTTTGTGTTAGTTTGGTGTTTTTTAAGTGTTTCTTGCTTCTTTTTAAGTAATACATTGACTCTGGTCAAATCGAATGTAGTTAACTATACCTAGTTTTCATTGTTTTTTGAAGAATTTCATAAGACTCGGAAAATATGTATTATATGTATTTTATTTTATTGTAAATTTATTTTAAATATTGGACAACGTTGCCCTTCGTTCGTTCATGACATGAAATTGTTATCTAACTTGATTGCTGTTACTCGAGTCAAGGATTTTGTTTGGACACCAAAATAATTGATTTCTTACTTTTCAATGTTATTAATTATATATAATTTAAGCGCGAATTTCTCTAATTAGTTACAATTACACTTGTATAACAAGGCATAATAGTTTCTCATAATAACCCTTCACGGCTGACAACTTGGTGTGTAAATTTCCAGACTTGTCACCGCACTATTTGAATATTAAAATATTAAACCTAATTATTTTTTCTATACGCGTGACAATTGCAATAGGTGTACAATTATGATTGAACTCGTATGAAAATTCCTAATACTTACGAGTGGTAAATAAGTGTGTTGTTAAACATTAAATAATCATTGCTAAGAATTAAAAACCTTCGTCAGAAAAATACTTTCATTCGCAATAAAAAAAAAATTATCGTTATTTGGTCATGCCTATTAATAATTTAAATAGTTTAAGTTTTTTCCTCCATGACGTCCAAAAGCGTGATTAATTGTTAGGATTCAAAAATATTTTCAAAAATAATTCCTAACAATGAAAATTTCTCCTAATTCACATGACAATCCAAAAAAACGAGTGATATAAAAACCAGAAAAAAATCCACAGTCGCAGCCCGGCGAGGTAACCCAAGCCGTCAAGGACGCAATCGACATCGGCTACAGGCACATTGATTGCGCCCATGTGTACGGTAACGAGAAAGAAGTTGGCCAAGCCATCGCCGCCAAGGTCTCCGAGGGAGTGATCAAACGAGAGGACCTTTTCATCACGAGCAAACTATGGAACACCTACCACAAACCAGAGCTCGTCGAGGTTGCTCTGAAACGGACCTTGGCCGACCTTGACCTCGACTATCTCGACCTCTACCTCATCCACTGGCCGGTCGCCTACAAGGATGGCCCCGATAACTTTCCCAAGAACGAGAATGGCCAACCCCTGCACGACTCTACTGTTGACTACTTGGACACCTGGAAGGCCATGGAAAAGATGCATGAGAAGGGCCTCGCCAGGAACATCGGCGTCAGTAACTTCAACTCTGAACAGCTCACCAGAGTCATCGAGAACTCGAAGATCAAACCGGTTGCCAATCAAGTGAGTTCATGTTTGTCGACTTGTGACCATTTTCTCGCGAGCTCGTTTTTCCTCGTATTATGTCTCCGTTTGCTGTTTAAGATCGAGTGCCATCCGTACCTGACCCAAAAGAAACTGTCGGATTTCTGCAAGTCCAAGGGTGTTGTCATCACTGCCTACAGTCCTCTTGGATCTCCGGATAGACCGTGGGCCAAGCCCAACGATCCAAAACTGATGGAGGACAAGAAACTCCTCGAGCTCAGCCAGAAGTACAAAAAATCTCCAGCTCAACTCCTCATCCGTTATCAAGTACGTACGCAGCTCCGACTAGTTTCGTTTATTTTCAGATTAAATCTAAGTTTCTTTTTGTTTTGTTTTGGATAGCTCGATAGAGGCCACGTTGTCATTCCAAAGTCAGTCACCAAGTCGCGCATTCTCGAGAACAGCCAGGTCTTTGACTTTAAGCTCAGTCCGGAAGACATTGCCTACATTGATTCGTTCGACTGCAACGGTAGAATATGCCCGATGACTGGGTGAGTTGTCTTGAATGAAAAAGTTATTGGAAGCTCTTTTTTTTTTTTTTTTTTTTTTTAATCACGAAATCACTTTTTGTTTCCAGATGCGAGTCGAGCCCCCACTTTCCTTTCGCCATCCCTTTTTAAATGAGACCGAAGAGTACAAAGAGTTATATTAGTGTCTAAGTCATGCTGATTAGAGATAAGTGATAATTTTATTCAACAGTATGCATACTGTGGAGAGATGATATCGTTCCAGTGATACTTTGTTTGAAAGATGAATTCGAGACGCTTCGTCACGAAATTTCGCAATATTCTTCAACGATGTTTACGAAAACTTATCTGTTTTACGCTCGTAATACATCGATGATTTTGCTAATTCTGTTGATTTCATGGAGTGTATAAAAAACTATTTCTCGTTCGTTACCAATAAAGTACTTTAAAAAAAAAAAAAAAAAAAAAACTTTTTTTCCTAGAAAATCACGGGTTTTACACATTGAAAAACATATAGGTGTGAAAATTTATATTTCGAGGTGTTGCATAATTTAAAATGGAATTAGTTGAAAGATAACCGGAAAGTGATGATTAAACATGACTCCGCACAGTTAGCTCTATGACAACAAAGTGATTGTATAATGCTGGGTATTTTTTTCCGTCTGTGCACACACATTTCGATGTTTAACATGCATTTTAACTGGGGTATTTCATTTCAATTTTACTCGTATATTTTATGAGAACCTACGTGATCTATAAAATTACACCTAATTTATGCTACAGTTAATGCAATTTTAGTAAATGTGAATGAAATCCTTACATTTTTGGTCATGAACACATATTGGTAACTATTAATAATGGCTAGTCTTCGAGTGTATAATTGACATGATATTATTAAATTAAAATATAAACTGATTCATCTTAATTTTTTTAGTTCATTTCCATGGGAGCCTGTTGAATTTATAAATATTTAGTTATACCAAAAATTAATCACGATACGTACTTGAATTCTTTTTAATAAAATACGAAAAAAAAAAAAAAAAAATTAAAAAACAAGCTTCTACAGTTTGTATTTAGGAAGTACTAGGCAACGGAGTCTTTTTCAAAGCAAAAATTCCTCAATGTCGTTTTGACGCAAATATCGTTATTACACGTTATGTGGAAAACATGATATAGCAATTACATCCATAGTTATCTTGGAAACCAGTTGTAGTATACACCGGATGAAATCGGCAAACGGTAATACTTACCAGCTGCGGCTAACATTCTCAACTATGTCGATCTTTCAACGACGCCCACGCGTCCTTGAAACTTCTCCGTGTGTCAGGTGGCACCAACACCACTGGACGAGCTCGTCGAGTTTCATTTTTGTGTGAAAACGTGGCGCTTTGCGCGTGTATTGGTCCGCGCATATGAAGCTGTTATTGGCAAAGCTCAAACAGTTAGTCGGTAGCTCGACCATGAGTAAGATAGAATCGGTTACGTTTTACAATGGAAACAAAGTGCCCGCTCTTGGGCTTGGCACTTGGAAGGTGAGTGAATTTAATGGGAATTTTTTTTTTCCTCTCTCAATGACCCAAGTATTTTTACAATAAATATTTTTGATATCTTGTGCTCGTCGTTGAAAATTCTTGATTGTACTTTACACTGGAATTACAAAAGTGGATGTAGGTTATGTGTAATATAAATATTTATAAGTTTAATTTTTTACATGAATGATAATTTTCAACGATTGTGATGAAATAAGCCATAGCATATTTGGCATTTTTTAAACATTTTTTTCCATTTCTACGAGAATTTTGAAAAAAAACAGCTACTTATAAAAATACTGTATGATATAAATACTATCTATTAAAAAAATTAGTTCTTTGTTATTTTTTTTTTTTTATTTTTCGAACAAAAATTAAAATCAACTCGTTGTTTAACTCCCAGCGAGCTTGATAAACCCAAGTGTTTATTGATGTTACTTATCGATTCACTCGCTTTTTATAAACCAATGTATGCAAAGAATGCCGGTTGGCGTTGCAACAATTGAGTCATGGACTTGATCGTTAGCGTTAACGTGTGAAAAAGAAAAAAAAAAAAATTTCTCATTTCCACTCAGCAGACATAGTTGATTATTTATTTTTTCCAATTGTAAATATATGAATATGTATATGTAAAGTTGAGTCCATGAAAAATGTTGTGCGATTAAAATTTTTTCAATACCGAAACGAATGTTGAAAGTGTGAAAAAAAAATCGTTGATTAATTTATAATAAAATTTGCGTAAATACAAAATGGCACACAGTTGCGAAATATTCTTATCCCTGTTTGAGTATGATTCATGATGCTTAAACAGAATGGATATCTTAACTTAAGTAAATAGATTTGAGAACCGCGTATCGGTGAAAAAAAAATTTTTTTATCAAAGTATAGCTTGTGAGCATACGCGTTTGGAAAAAGATAAAGCCGTGGAAGATTATTATCACTTTGTCAATAAATTCTGGAAAATTTTAGTCGAAAGGTGGGACGGCGGTCGAGGTGATCAAGGATGCTGTGCGCATCGGGTACCACCACATCGACACCTCGCCGGTTTATGGCAACGAGAAGGAAATTGGCGAGGCGCTCACGGCTCTCATGAAGGAGGGCGTCGTCAAACGCGAGGACCTTTTTGTCACCAGCAAACTATGGAACACCCGACACCGGCCCGACCTAGTTGAGGCGGCTTTGAAGAAAACTTTGTCGGACTTGAACTTGGAGTACTTGGACCTCTATCTGATCCACTGGCCCTTTGCTTTTAAAGGTTTTTGTGATTGATTAAGGATAACGTTTTTAAAAAAGAGAAATTACATTTTTAAACTAATTTATAGTCTCTGCTCACTGTGATAATATGTGAAGAAATTTTTAGTGCAACAGGCATACGGTCTGTTCACAGTTTGATCAATGATTTTTCAATTGACAAATTTTTAGTAACTCAGCACGTTGAATGTAACATTGGTTCAACCACAGAAGTGCAAAGGCAAGGTAGTCAAAAGTAAAGGATTTCAACCAATGCATCGTCCTAGATTATTAAAAAATTCACTTAGTTATCTAGGACGAAATGCAGGTTTTAGAACCCGTTTTTTCCTGCACTCCTGCTATCGAACAAACGTTAAATTGGAGGTGCTTAGTTGGTGGGGATTTTATTCAGAAATTAAATAAAATTACGGTCTCAACAGACTGTGTACCTATTGCAGAAAAAATGTATTTCTTATTGTTTTAATTCGTCTGTAAAATTTTTTCAAAAAATTGAACAAAACCATTTTTCAAAGTTATTTTTTTTATCCATATTTAAAAGTAGTCCATACATAATTTTAGATATATTTAGTCCATAAATAATTTTACTTGTATAAGTAGCACAAAAACATATCGGGTACAAATTTTTTTAAATTTTGTTAAATTTGCTTAGATGTTTTCAATTATAAAAATATATTTAAACATCACCATTTAAATAATTTTGGATATTTAATTATTAAATTTCATCTAAATTTAGGAAGTTACTGACAATATTATATACAAAAAATTTTTTTATTTTTTTATTTTGTATTCAATAAACTTTTCTGCAAATAACTGGGATTTTTTATGGAAAATATATATTAAGTCCTTCAGGCTAAGCATAAAAAAATTTATTGGATACGCGTTTTTTCTCTCTTCACAAATTTGGAAAACCAAACTGATTGTCGAGCTGTATCCCTCGCGTAATGTCACAACCGTGTTATATCGTATTCATGGAAACGCATGTACTCAACCCATTGTTTTTCACCCTAGAGCTGGAAGAATCGTTTCCCGAAGGCCCGGACGGCAAGGTGCAATTCAGTGACGTTGACTACGTCGATACCTGGAAGGCCATGGAGCAGGTGCACGAGAAGGGCCTCGCCAGGAACATCGGCGTCAGTAACTTCAATTCCAAGCAGCTTGCCAGGATCCTCGACAACTGTAAGGTCAAGCCCGTGGCCAACCAAGTCGAGTGCCATCCTTACCTGCCTCAGGTCAAGCTGTCCGAGTTCTGCATGTCCAAGGGCATTCTCATCACAGCCTACAGTCCCTTGGGCTCTCCCGACAGGCCGTGGGCACAGCCTGGAGATCCCAGTCTACTCGAGGACCCCAAGGTCAAGGGTATCGCCGAGAAGTACAACAAGTCGCCAGCTCAGGTCGTTTTGCGCTATCAGGTAGTGAAGAATCTTCGTAATTCCTACACTGTCGAGGTGGAAAAGCTTTTTTTTTTTTTTTTCTACGAAAGTAAATTCGTTCCTTTTTCATTTAAGGTTCAACGAGGCCACATTGTCATCCCGAAATCCGCTTCGAAGGTCAGACTGGAGGAGAACACCAGGATCTTCGACTTTGAGCTTTCCAAGGAAGACATCAACCTCCTGCACACTTTTGATCGCAATTGGCGAGTTTGTCCGATGAACAGGTGACGATATATATATATATATATATATTTTATAAACGAATTGAAAATCTCGTGAGATAATTCCATGTCATTTAATTTCAGTTCCGTGGAGCACAAAGATTATCCCTTCCATGAGGAGTTCTAACATTGCGTACAATTGTTTCTTTAAAAAAAAAAGGTCACACTATTTTTTATTTACTGTTATCCTTTGATACTTGAAATAGTATTACAAAAGATGTTACATAATTTTCTAGCAACATCCACGTTGTGGCATGAGACACAATGAAAGTAAAAAACAAACAAACAAAGTAATAAATGAAACTTGTTGAGGTAAACGATGTGTGTGTATAATTGATTGAAACTTTAGTTTTTAGAAGAAATCAGCTATACAGAGATTGTTTTCAGTCGACCTTACTTTTTTGCTGGGTAACCGTGCAAGTCTCCTTGTAAAACGCTAACTGCTCGGAGCAAATTTCTACCGATTGGCCAAAGCTCGGCATCTCCCCGCAATTGCAATCGACCGATGTGCACCGTGGACTCTTTCTCGCAATACTCATGCTGCTGACGATTTTATCGATCTTCGTCGACTGGTGCGTTTCTCGTACCACGCGTTCTCGAGATTTATCGCGACATTCGCACGCCTTAACCACTATCACCGCACAGGGGGCGTTGGATTCGCGAGGGCCATTCTTAGGATCGGCTTTGCTCGGTAGTGACGAGCAGGATTGTTGTGCTATCAGTTCGGGTGTACACCACGGGCTGTCCGCCGCTTCAGCACTCGTCTTCTGCACCGTGGTATCCATGCCACATGGATTCTCCAAGTGTCTCTTGCGGCAGCACTTTGGCGTCGCCCGCTCGGAGGAATTGGTCCTTCTGCGACATGGCTTCGGCTTTTTTTGGCACTTGCACGCCTGAAAGAGTGGACATTATTGTAAATAACTTCTTGTGTTTGTACAACTTTTGCAAACCTGTGCTCGAAGCAGTTACTTTCTACACCTGATGCGCAAAGCATTCACTTTCCGCACCCTGTGCCTAAAATAGTGACTTTACAAACGACGTGGGCAAAGTAGCGACTGATTTCCACATACTGTGTACAAAGTAACCGCTTTACGCACACTCTGTGCAGACACGAGAAGGCGAATTTCAGGAAACCCTTCAAATTACGCACCATTGAGTTCTTTTTTTCCGCGACTTTATCGAGTTTGCCACACTGGTTTTTCCCACGGGCCTTGTCTCGTTCGAAAAGAGCCTCCACCGTTCTCTCTAGCTTTTGCTGAAAAACAAAGGCACTCTTTTTCTTCATGTAAAATTAAAGAATGAGTCCCTATAGCCGAGAATCCTTACGCAGTCCTTCTTCCTGTGACTCCTCGACCTGTGCGCGTGGTGCTTCTGGCCTTGCACAGAGTCGCAAACCTTCTGGCAACCACCACCAAAGATCCTCTCGATTTGAGTTCGCAGCGCTGTCTCGCGTTCTTCCAGCTGTTTGATGTTCTTTTTCATCCTCTTTTCGTTCTCGCCGAGTTTGCGTATTTCCGCCAGGCAAAGCCGGTCGTCCGAATTGATGGACTCGAGGCTCACGCAAATCTTCGCCTCCATGCACTTGATCTGCTCCTCGAGCTCGCAATTCACAAGCTCCAGAGACTCGAGCTCCATCTTGCCCTCCTCGAGCTCGACGTCCGCTTTGATTATCTTATCCTGCACGTAAAAAAGCACAATATTACTCGAACAACAGTGACTTCGATCGACGATAGGCGAAATAGTATTTGAACTTTTCATTCCCTCCCCCCCGTATTTCCTTGACATTGCATGTACATAATCTTCAACGGGTCTACAATTTGACATTTCAATTACAATGGCAAAGCAATTGATCCTCCAATTACAATTTCGCCCATCGCTCGTTCCGATGAACTCAGGGAAACCCATAGTTAGCAACGCTACTCATCAAACTTGGCGAGGGATACCTCTGCTAGTTCCACGCAAGACACGAGCGCCGTACCTACGTGTAACTCGGCCGTTTCCTTGTTCAGTTGGTCCACCTGGTCCTCCAGTTGGGCCACAAGCTCGTCCGCAGGATCCGGTTGGGGCATCAGCTCCTTCATCAGTTCCCGTACCTTTTCCAGTGCGCTCACAGGGTCCTTTCCCTCGCAGGTCTGCCACAACTTCATGGCCATCAGAGCGGGTATGCACCGCTCCATAATGCCGGTCTTGTTGACCAGAAGGCGCTCACGTTCGTCCAGCTCTTGGTGCCGATCCTCGTAGCGGTGGACCGCATCTTGGATGAAGGGCTGGCAACGCTCGGTGACATCTTCCTGGGCTACGTTTGTGGGATACGGTGGATTAGTCGAAATGTCATGATATTGGTAGTGGGTAGAAAGGACTCTAACTTTTTCCACATTGGGTCTTGGCGTCTGTGCTGGAGTCGTCTATAAAAATCAATTTAATCAACGGGGTTATTTGGTAGTTCTGAGGGTTTCGTTGACGGAATGGGGGTTGCTTACGTGGGTTGTTGCATGCCATGTTTTCTGATCACTTGCGATTTTCTTGTTTGCCGGCTTGGGTGAATATTGCACGGGAAATTTTACTGGCTTTTGAGGTTATTTTAGGTTGGATTTGGAACGATGCAAGTTTACGGTTTGAAGTTGGTTGGGGATTTTTTTTTTTTGGCGCCGGTACCGAGAATCCAATACGAAATTCGAGTCGATATTTTTAATATAAAAAACTTGCTAAATATTTTTAAGTGAGTATTTGTCTTGTTGTTTATCGCATGATGCAAAAATTTTTATAATATTCTATACTGATGTGTAATCGACGGTTGTCCGGTATTGTATAGGTGGATGCAAAAATAATTTAGGGAATTTTCAAACCACCTTTGGTAAGTCCATTGATAATTAATTTTTTTTCATCCTTGGTTTAGTTAACAATCAGACAAAATAAAAATAAAATTTCCTTGAGGAAAAAAAAAAATTGGAATCTCAGAACGACCTGAATGTAGGTATTTGGTTAATGTTTAACCTATTCCGGAAATTTCACAAATTTTCTTCCGACGTCTCTGCGTGTACTCGCGCGTGTACTTGTAATTTTTTAAAATTTACTTTTCTTTTACAATAATAAATGTAAAATTTGCAATAAATTTCGAAAGTATGAGATATTCAGATATTGATATCGAGGATAAAAGAGATTCTCTTTATTTCGATGCGGTTGAAAACCAGGAGCAAATTAACGGTTACGAGTACAGAAAAGCAATGCCGGAAATCGCGTTTTCAGCCTCGGGAATCAACCCTTTCCGCGCGGCTGTGAGAAAAGTTAAGAAACTCACGGGTAAGTGATTCGCAAGCTTTTGTATATAGAGACTTGGTGTTTTTCTTCGATGAAAAGCAAATAAAGCTCGTTCAACCGTAGGTGGTCCAAAGTTGATATTCATATGGCCGCAAAAGTCATCGCATTACGGACGAGTGAAAAGCTTTGTTGTGCCTGTGGTCCGTGGACTGCTCTACGGCCTCGTCGTGCTGGACATGTTGCACCTCTGGCCGGGTGAGTTCATGCCCAACAGTTTGCCCTCAACACTGCCGCCGCCCTTGCGACCTGTCAAGTGCAATGTGATCGAGCCTCTGTGGTCCGAGAATTCGTAGATTTTAGGGATTGAATTTTTAGTGGAAAATTTTCACAATAACATTGGGTAAGAAGCAATTAGTGATTTTCAGTCACGTACGCGTGTCAGATTCAACAACGAAAAGTTACTTGAATCATTGTAAAAATTATAAATAAATGTATATTTCTGTTATGAGTAAATGTTTACTTATTCATAAAAAATAGCTACTTCATTTCCAACTAAATTATTGCAGGAAATATTGTTGTGCATAAATAGATATGTAAATAAATAAAATTGTACAACATACAAATAAAAATAAAATTAACTTTTTCCAAATTTTTTCATGAATGTATTCGACTGGTTAAAAAATTGAACGAATAAATACTGCTGGAACGAATCCCAACAACCTTGAAGTTACGAAAGAACTCCCATCCATCGTGCTATATATACACACTTGTACAGGCTTCCTATCAAATTACCAGTAGGCTGCAGGATACGTTTCGAGCTCGTGAAAGTAATATCGGACAACTTGCTTTTAGTCTTCGTGTATTCTTAATTTTACACAAAATAATATGAAAAATATTTTCATAATGAAAAAATTTTATTTTTACGATCATTAAATGTACAATAACTCACAGATTATTAATATTATAATTTTNTAATAGTAAATCTTTAAATATGATTGATCACATCTATGTATGCCACATACACCCACACATTTTTTTATTTTTATCTAAATACGTAACTTTGTGGGAAATATAATGTTTTTTATCCTATTAAAAAAAAATAATTAATTGAAAGTACTGGTTAATGTTGAAAATGTGATAAAAAAAAAACGATTTTTAAAAATTAAAAAAATTAAGATAAAAATCAAGACAGCTCAATACAAACTATGTTTTTTTGCGATCATAAAAAAATTAAGACAAAAATAAACACTGATGGGTCACATTTGTTCGAGGAAATCTTGTGGTAATTATGGCTGACTTCATCATAAAATCTTTAAATACTTTTTCAAATACTATGATCCTTTTTTTTTTCTAAATTTTTTCTATCTTTCAAATTGTAATGCATTGTTTTTACTGAGTATATTTTGTTGAGCACTGTGTTGTAAATGGTTATTAAATAAAAAATTTTCAAATAATGCATTACACTTTTGTCAAAAAACTATATTGCAAAAAAAATTGAAACTATATCTGTGCCCAAGTCCAAAAGTAGGGAAGAACGTGGATGAATCCACCCCTCTCTGTCGCAGAAAATTGTCAGTCACCGATGGACCCTCCTTCCGTGCGGTTCTTAGGACGTTACGTAAACGTAAACCTTATGGTGCTCGCATATTTTGATTCTCCGGTTGCACAAATAATAAGGAACACAGAATTTAAAAAAATTTGTCAATCAGTGTTAATAATAATAAATTTTTGGTGGTCCAAATTTTAATTTTTTGGTTAAAACATGTGGCCGGTATTCATGCTCTTTATTTTCTTAGTTGTACTTATGATATCACTAGCACTGTACTTTTGGTTGTCTGATTATTTTACTCTACGAGATGTTCTGGGGTTTATACCAGGCCCGAAAACCTGGCCATTTATCGGACACTCTTGGCAAATAGCTGTAATCCCTCCAGAAGGTGGATTATAAATAACTTCTGATGAAATTCGAGTTGAAAAATTTTTGAAAAATTTCACTTCACAAAGTTAATTTTTATAGATCGGTTCGAGTGGCTGAACGATCTTTGTTTGGAGTATCCTTCGGGTATGGTTGTGATTTGGCTTGGAATGCAGCCTTTCGTAAATATTCGTAAGCCTCAGCAAATAGAAGTACGTTAAAATACTTTGCTTTACTTCTGGTTAAATTATAAAATACTTAAATTATAAAATTAATATAGATTATTCTGAGAAGCGGCACGTTTATCGTCAAATCAAAAACTTACGGAATTCTGAAACCTTGGGTGGGAAAAGGACTTCTCACGGCCAAAGGTTTTTTTATACAAGTCTTATTATTATTTTTATTTGTGAAAAACTGGTGGCTTTTTAATTTTGCTAATGTTAATCCTAATAATGATTATTGAATGATTTTACTGATTAATAGATTCTTATTTCATTTTTCTGTAGGCAACAAGTGGCACATTCATAGACACGTCGTAAGATCCGGATTTGAAGAAGATGTATTGAAACATTACCTAACAGCAATAAATAAGAAAGCAGATGTACTAATGAAGCAAATAAGTGCAAAAGTACGACCAAAGTCTTCTATCAATATATTTTCCTTGGCTATGAAATACGCCTTCGACATGACCTGTGAAACAGTGTTAGGAATCGACGTAGATACGTTGCAAAAATCAGACAATGCATGCAGTAGGGCAGTTAAAGAGTAATGCTGTACATAAAAACAAAACAATCGTTTAATATTATTAGATTATAAAAAAACCTTACGATTTGATTAATGTTAACACAGTTTTTGTGAAGCAGCCACAGAAAGATATTGGAGAGCATGGGTGACATCCGACTTCATTTTTTATCGAAAAAAACTTGGAAAAAAAATGTTAAGAACTGTGAAGATTTTGCGTGATCTTACTAAAAATGTAAAAATTTATTTTACTGAATCAAAAAAAATAATTTGATGCAATATTAATATAGTATTTAACATTCGTTAGGTATTAAAACAAAAGCAAACAGAGCGACAAAGTGAAAAACAAAGTGTTGAAGAAAATCGTGGTGAAAGAAGTAAATGTGGTGTTTGATCTTTACTTTCATTAATAAAATTAAAAAAACGATGCAATTTGTTGTTTGATTTTTTTTTTTTTAGATACAGAAACAAAGGAAAGTAGTACATTGTTAGATCATATTTTGGATAAAAACGAAACCTTTCAACAGCCACTGACGTTTGAAGAAATAAGGCAGGAACTGGATACATTTTTATTTCTAGTAAGAAATTAATTACTATCAATTAAAAAATTACTTACGTACATAAAATCATTTTTTTTATGTTTTAAAGGGATACAATACCATATCATCAGCGATTTCTTGGGCATTATTTTCTCTTGGCAATGCTCCAAAAGTCCAAGCAAAATTGTTGAAAGAATTAAACAATGTTTTGGGTGAAAATGGAATGCCAGCGACAATTGAACAATTAACAGAATTACACTATTTAGATAGAGTTATACAAGAAGTCCTAAGGCTTTATCCAAGCATACCAATAATTGGCCGTTCACTGAATAATCATGCAGTTATTGGTATGATGTTTTCTTATCTGATCAATTCATATCATCTAAAAATTTCATATTTACAATGTATTCCATGACCAGAAAAAAAATTGTTTCGAAATTAATTTTAATACTTAAAAGTATTTGGCATGATTAAAAAATATTCTTTTTTTTATTCTAAATATATTTGTGGTACAAACTCGTTTGTTAAGCTGAAACTATTAGATTATGTTACGTACGATAGCATATAGCTATGCGTGCGTGCGCCTCTGCTGGCTTGGGCCTGAAAGGTAGGGAAATAGAGAAGAGAGGTGATAGGAAAGGTAGAGAGAAGGGACGAGGAGATCAGCGAGAGACGCGAGAGGGTAAGGACGAAGTCCGCGAGACGAGAAGACACGCACAACTTCCCTCAAATATAAGTTATTCTAATAAAGCATAAGTAACAACAAGTCACGCTTCTATTTATTTCCGCACCGAGAATCCCACGTAACAATTACTTTTTTAACATCAATTTTGATAAATTGCACCCATCTTTCATATTTTTATGATGGAAATCAATATTTTAATATTTCGAAAGATTTGTTCGAATCTACATATTAAACAAATCAAATATTCATATTATTTTAAAGATTACAAGTCTTAAAAAATCATATTTTTTCAGACAATTTCTTTATTCCAAAAGGGACCACCGTAAACATTCAAATTTATCAACTACACCGAGACCCTGAAATTTGGGAAAATGCCGAAACATTCGATCCCGATAGATTTTTGCCAGAAAACAGCCAGGGAAGACATCCTTATGCATATGTTCCATTTAGCCTCGGACCAAGACGGTGTATTGGGGATACATTAGCAATGTTGGAAGTGAAAATTGTACTGTCAACTATTTTGCGAAAGTGGCGCGTTTCTAGTCTTCTGAATCCTAGTGACATTAAAATGACTTCTAGTTTCTCTTTGAAACCAGGTGATAATAGATTAGAACTTTTTTTTACACCAATAAACAAGAAATAAGGCCAAGGCATTGCTATTATTCTTTAATTGTTACTGAGACATCTTAATTTTTTCAAATAAATAAAATACTAATTAATTGACACGAAATTTTCTCGTTAACTTTTCTTCATAGCCTTTTATTCGTTTTGCGATATAATTTCAAATACACCAGACATATTATAATGCCTTTACGTAATTAAATATTTGCCCATAAAAATATTCTACTTTCTCAACAAAATACATTTTTTCATAGCAATTCGTATATTATTTCTTAGATTTATTAATATTATCAGGTAGTTCATGCAAAAAATTATTTTCTTACAAAAAAATTGATACTTGAGATTAAAGTTATCTAGCAAACATAAGTGGTAAAAGATTTGTCAAAATTTATTTAAGAAAATAAAAAAAAATTATAATTTTTTCAAAAAACGAGTACATTATGTAAAATACAGCTAGACTATGATTCAACTACAAAAATATTAGAAGTATCGTATACCATTTTGAAGATATCTGTTCTCCACATTTGGCAATTCGTGAAATTAGTCCCCTGTATAAACGAAAAAATTAACTATGTTAATTTTAAGTTAATAGTAAATCTTTAAATATGATTGATCACATCTATGTATGCCACATACACCCACACATTTTTTTATTTTTATCTAAATACGTAACTTTGTGGGAAATATAATGTTTTTTATCCTATTAAAAAAAAATAATTAATTGAAAGTACTGGTTAATGTTGAAAATGTGATAAAAAAAAAACGATTTTTAAAAATTAAAAAAATTAAGATAAAAATCAAGACAGCTCAATACAAACTATGTTTTTTTGCGATCATAAAAAAATTAAGACAAAAATAAACACTGATGGGTCACATTTGTTCGAGGAAATCTTGTGGTAATTATGGCTGACTTCATCCATACATATACATATAGACATAATTTCTTGCTAGAGTAGCTAATATATTCATAATAGATTATCTCGATACGTTATTTTTCGTCAATAACAAATCTTCGTCTAGTTGGAGCAAAACATTTCAATTGAATGATGAAAATAATCCTATGAGCATACAATATTTTAATAACTTAGTAGTATTTAAAAAAAGACCCTAATAAAGTTTTACAATTGTCTAAGAAAATTTAAATATGTCCACTAATTTTTATGACTTAAATCGTTTCTAGATTCTTTAAGTGTTTATGCGCATCAAAATAGTAGATGATTGAGTTATTTAATGATTTTTAGTAATAATAATATATTCCATTTTTTGAAAGATTGTAAGACTACTGCAAAATATCTCAATCTCGTATTTTGATTTAGCTTTAGATGATATCGCTATTGAGTAATTTTTTTAAAAGTCTTAACAACAAAATTAGGTGAACGATTTTAAAATATTTTGCCATGCAAGTAAATAAGCTTTGTTACGACACAAGAAAATCATGAGACAAGTTATGCATTCCATATTTGTAATCATAATGTAAATACACAACGTTCAATCTTATCACTGACAATCTCTTTAGTAACACATTTTCTAATTTTCATTCTTCAGCATTGAAACATTTTAGTCTCCCTATTTGAAACAGAAAAATGTATGATACCTCTATGGTTTCAATGATGTTAATACCTGACCAGTATTCATAATTATACGCTTCGCTTGATCACTTGTATCTCAGTTCTATCACTAGTTCAAGCCTCAGATGAGTAAGCTACGATCGATTCACATATTGAAAATAAGCATACAAAAAAAAAAAAAAAACCGCACCTGTATCGTAAAACTCAGAAAAAATTATAAATGTACACAAATTTGGAGTCACTTTACCCGAATAATCATCATAATTTTCAACTTAAATGGAGGAAAAATTACTTCTTCGGAGATGAGCATTTTCTAAAAAAAATGATCCAATTATTTAAAATAGTTTTAATTATGCCTTATCGTAAAAAATCCAATATTGACATAAAAAACGATCATGGATGAGATGGTATCTCGTTGTTTGAAAGTCTGTCATGGATATAAAATACTTGCATGAGAGAGCGAGGAAGGAGGAAAAAAGGAAGGGGAGAGACAACTTGTTTAAGCGGATCTCAGTCTTCAATATTCTGCTGCCTCATACAGTTTGAGTTGCTACATCAGCCAAAGGCAATTCGCAGTATTTCAATGGATTAAGTGTACAAGCAGTGATTGTATGTTCTTGTGTAATTATTTTAACGCATGGAGTATACGGGGGGAGTATAATATTGGAAGAATTATGGCATGAAAATGTGGGCATATCCGTAACTATAAAGTTTTTTTCTAGTTTTCTTTTTCTAACTAAAATATATTTAAGTGTGATTGGAAAAACTGTTAAAATAATGAACTTACAAGTAAATTAGTAATGTAAGGAATCGTTGAATTTTATTGTGTTCCTTTACATCGTACTTTAATACGAGAAAATGAAATTTAAAAGTAAAATATAAAAAAAAGGGTCTAAATTAACAATATTTCTAGGTTTTCACATAATTATAAAGCATAGTTAATAAATTAATAACCAGAGAAAGAGCTTTCATTGCGATGTACACAATGTTTTGCACGAACAAGTATTTTTTGAGATTTACTACTTTAGATTCGACACTTAGTCCTACTACTAGAACAAAACTACTCTGAAAAATATATTTAGCATGTACAAAGATGTATTTTGTTCAGATTTATAACTTTTTATATCAAACATTTTTGAGCAGCACGTACCGTGTAAAAAAATTGTATTTAAATATTATCTATAATTTTCTCGCCAAGTTACGCACAAAAAAGAAAAAAATTATGATCAATGGAACGTACTTACATTACGACTAATCTAAAAATTTTATTCGAAACCGAAGCTTTTTGCCACTTGTAAGTATCAAAAGCTATTGGATGGAAAAATTCCACTAGTTTATTTAAATTTGTTTGTAGTTATGTATAGAAAATAAGTATTTACAAATAGAAAACAACATGAGAAATGTTTGCCATAAACTAACAGACGTTATTTTAACACTTCTGTGATAATATTATACACATGTATGATGCTGGTAGCTTTCGCCGAGTCATCGCACTCAAGCTACGCCTACGACTTGCATTCGTTTCCGACAACTGGACACTTGTGCTAATTTATTTCTACCACTTGTACTTCTTAATCTTTCTCACACTTTTAACGGAAATAACTTTTTTTTCTGTAACTATAAGCAACAACAGTATCATTATTTAATTTAAAAAACTTTGCATACTAATGTTAACATTTTAATGGTTTTACGAATAACTCCTAAATGACTAATAAAAAAAAGTACTAAGGTTTTGGGTAAGCCCACAAAGCTAGATTTTTCCAACTGGAAAAATATATGCTGAGAAGTAATTTTACCTAAAAGCAGGTTCGCAAGATAATATTTTGGAAGACTTGACGATTGTGAAGGTATCTGAGAATGGTCTCGATTTATCTCGTACTTATCGTACTAGCTGTCATTTTGATACAAAAATGGCTTTCAAATTATATGAAAATTCGTAAAATATTAGAAACAGTACCTGGACCAAAACAATATCCTCTTATTGGCATTGCTCCACTCATGATGGGTGTTCCTCCTGAAGGTAATTATTATTTACTAAAGTAATGAGAATTAACTATAGTAAAAATAAGTTTTGCTTATGAAAAAAAGTTTGTGTTTCAGACCGACTTGCTGTGTTCAACGATTTGTGTTACCAATTTAAAAATGGTATGTTTCTAATATGGTTCGGTACTCAACCAGTAATCAATATTCGAAAACCTCATCAAATAGAGGTAATGTTTTTTATTAGTAAAATAATATTTTTAAAATGTCTTATTACCAATAGAAATATAATTTAAATAACTTATCGTACGTCAAATATATTTTCAGAAAATTTTAACAAGTACAACAATAATAAAAAAATCAAGATTTTATAATTTTGTAAAGCCATGGCTAGGTGAAGGTTTGATAACGACTACAGGTAATACAAATTAGAACTTGATGGCAATTATGCATGCATTTATGGGTATCAAAAGTAGTGAAATTTTATTTATTCTTAAGGCACAAGATGGTTTAATCACAGAAGACTCATAACACCTGCATTCCACTTTGGTGTACTCGGGGAGTATTCCGCAGTAATGAGAGAAAATGTCCAAGCATTGATTGAACTTATAGACAAGGAATGTAACCGTAATCCAAAAGCTCCCATTAACATTTTTGATATTATTGGTAGATACACTCTTGATACAATTTGTGAAACAGCTATGGGTGTTAGTGTTAATGCAATCCAACAACCAGATAACGAATACTGCCAGGCACTCCACAAGTATTGAAGTATCCTATGAATATTATTTAAATTCACTTATTATCCGAGGTCTTTATGATTGTCGTTAGAATTAAATTTAAAGTTGGATAAATTGATTATTAGGTTACACTATCTTTCATCATTTCAGATAAGGACATTCGTAAAAATTGTCAAAAATAGCTTTTGTAACAAATATATGTTGTGGGAGGGGCCTTTTTGACATGCCTAACGGAAAAAATAACACTTTACTTGTTAGGAGTAAATGAAAAACTAACATAATTAAGCTCATGCCATTCTAAAAAAATTTGCACATCAAAGAATATTGGTCCCTTGACTTCATCAAAAGATGTTGATGAAAAGTTTAATATGAATTGTATAGCGTATGTTAAGGTCTATTATCTACTTTACGTGTATCAATCTTTTAAGTATCTAAGTATGCAAGATAACAGACTTAAAGAAAAAATTTTTAAGACCACTGACTTGCAAAAAAAAGTGTTTACGCAAAAATAATTTAAAAAGTAACGTAACTCCAAAAAATTTATTTATTTAATTCTAGGAAACTATTATTTTTTTAATAAAGATTATTCACTATTAATTTTACTACATCAAAATTTTTTAACAGCACTATTTGAAGATTGGCTCTTTTTATGTCATTACAAATTATGCTATTAAATAATAATTTTGTAAACCCTCTTCAGAGTGTAAAAATAGTCTGTAGTTGGATATAATTTTAATAAGATTTTGGTTTGAATTACGATTTTGCAATTTCAACTTATTTTACTTGATCGATAATTTGAATTTTTAAGACAAAAGTAAAAAAAGATACTATAAACGTTTAATTTGCATCATAATCTGATTATGTTTGAAATATCTTAACCTTAGGCCTGTTAAGGGCATTCAGTATATTATCTAGAATTTCTACTTTATCGACTTCCCGATAATAAGAAACTATTGTTAATAACTAATTATATAACTATTTAAACCCAAAATGATGAGAAGAGCCCCAAAGCTAGTACTTTGAAGAAACAATCAAGCCTTAATTAAATACAATTTGTTGCGAACTTAGAGAAAAAAGTTACATTTCGTGATCAGAAAAGATCAATTCGCAACGGTTTGCATTGAATTTGGGCTTGATTAAATTCTGAAAGTACCAGGTTGGGGGCTGTTCTCATCATTTTGGATTTAAGTAGTTATATAATTAGTTATTAACAATAATTTCTTACTATAGGAAAGTGGGTAAAGTAGAAATTTTAGATGATATACTGAATGCCCTTAAAGCTATACTTATAAAATAAATGTTCACACTTATGTTACCGATAGTCTACATAACAATGAAATAATATTGATAGAGACCAAGGTCAGATTATTTTAAAATTAACTTACACTGTGTAAAATAGAAATCATCTATTTGCTAAATATACTTTATAACGCTTGATTGCATATTTTTAGTATCACCAGACTATTCACTGAAAGAGTTTTTCGATTTTGGTTAGCGTCAGACTTTATATACAACAAAACACCAAGTGGTAAACAATTTCGGAAAGCTGTGAAGATCATGCATAAATTCACAGAAAAAGTATAAAAATATGATCTGCAGTAGATATAATGTTAAAAATGAATTCTAAACAGAATCTATTTATGTACACATAGGTAATAATGGACAAGCACAGGGAACGTGCTGAAAAAAAAATATCTGGTGTCACAGAAATTGAAGAAGATAATGTTTATGGTAAATATTTAACTTACCTTTGATTTTTTTATTCCTTTAGTAATACATATACAATTTTAATGTTTTGTTATTATAAATAGGAAAACGAAAACCCAAAGCATTTTTAGATCTGTTATTAGATGCAAGTGAAAATGCTGATAGTCCATTGTCTCTGGAGGAATTGAGGGAAGAAGTTGATACATTCATGTTTGCGGTAATTATGAGATTTTCTTATTCAATGAAAAATTATCGTTTACCTTAAGGTTTAAGTCGATTATTAATTAATTATACATACTTAGGGTCAAGATACAACTGCTATGGGTATATGCAATGCTTTGTTTGCTCTCGGTAATGCTCCTGAAATACAAGAAAAAGTTTACCAAGAAATGAAAGAAGTAATTGGTGATTCTGATGAAGTTGCAACAGCAAGTCAATTAGGACAATTAAAATTCTTGGACCGTGTAATAAAGGAAGCTCTTAGAATATATCCAAGTGCTCCTTCAATCGGTCGATGCACTGAGCATGATATTGTTATTGGTAAAATTTTAATCATTTATTTTCCTTGTGTNTACAACTGCTATGGGTATATGCAATGCTTTGTTTGCTCTCGGTAATGCTCCTGAAATACAAGAAAAAGTTTACCAAGAAATGAAAGAAGTAATTGGTGACTCTGATGAAGTTGCAACAGCAAGTCAATTAGGACAATTAAAATATTTGGACCGTGTAATAAAGGAAGCTCTTAGAAAATATCCAAGTGTTCCTTCAATCAGTCGAAACACCGAGCATGAGATTGTTATTGGTAAAATTTGAATTATTTTTTTGTCTCTTGTACTATACTTATGATGAACCGTGAGATCAAAAACGTTATTATAATATTTTTATTCAAATTAATTATTATTAAATATTTATTTTCTAGACGGTCACCTGATTCCAAAGGGTACATCAATTAGTTTAAACATTTATCAAGCACATCATGACCCTGAAAGTTGGCCAGATCCTGAAACATTCGATCCTGACCGTTTTTTGCCAGAAAATTCAAAGGGTCGACACATATACTCATATTTTCCTTTTAGTGCAGGACCAAGAAACTGCATCGGGAAAAAATTCGCGTATTTGGAACTAAAAACTGTATTAACAGCCATTTTAAGAAAATGGAAAGTTTCTAGTGTTTTAAAGCCATCTGAAATGAAAATGGTAGCTAATATAACATTACGGCCCGCTAATGAGAAAATAGAATTGTATTTCACGCCTCATAATAACTATTTGTAGCGATTGCTTACATGAATTTTTTACTGCAGGCACAACTGAGCCCAACATACTAAATGCAAAAACGCTATACGCAATCTTTATACGTTGATAGTTTTTTATTACTGAAGTATGAGTTAATAAGCTTACAAACAAATTATTAAATACTCTTTTAGTTCGCGAGTATATATTAGAGTGAAAGACTTGAGTAATGGTATTGGTTTAATAATTAAGTAATTCTAGTGGTCTCGTTATCATATTAATGTATTTATACGAACGCTGCAAGGTTTTGGTCAGTGACATATCATTCTTTAATTACACTAAATAGTTTTAGTGGCTAAATTAATTATATTATATAATCACTACCACAAACATAAGAATTATACAATGCTTACAACTACTTACGAGATTTTTCTGGCTAATTGTTTTGACAAGAGCTTTCGCAAAAGATCTGCATCAATGAAAAGTCCAGCAGGATAATAAGAAATGTGTCAGATAGTAGGTATAAAATTAGGATAATGCGTGTGTTCATACATAATTTTGTCTGATTATTCGTAGTTGATTTGGATGAGATTGTGTTAACCGTTGTATATCAGCTATTCTATTTAAAGTACTAGTAAAGATTACTTTTTGTATCAAAAATATTAACATTATCAGAATCTAAGATATGCTTTACACATCCAGAATACTGACAGAGATCTCATCGTTCTTATTTATTCTTAAAATCTCTCATATGTGTATTGACTATAATCTTACTCTTAAACTCCTAGCTGATTGGCCTAAGTATTTTTTAATACAGTTATGTCAGTCTAGTTTAAGTAATACCCTCCACCTTTATCTTCGTTGTGATATCTTGCCGTAACTTTATAATGCAAATTAATTTATTAATACTTATTAACGTAACAGAAATTTGCAATTTGAGTAATCTTTTGAGTTTTATTATTAAAATATACAAAGTCTGAAAAAACAAGAAAGGATATGTTATTGTTATTCACAGCTACTGAAGTGCCTTAGTGAAAGTCGTTAAATAAACAGTGCAATTTTTTTTTTATACCTATTTTTCAATGAATTTAGAATAGTAATTGTTATGAAGTACTAATAATTGAATCATCTATCTTAGATTATCTTTATGAAATATGGGATGTGACAATTATATGATGCTATCCATCAATGTATAATTTTTACCTGTTTTAAGGAACACTGATTGTGTGACAGATATTTTAAACACCTTTTAGAAAATGTAAGTTTTTTATACCGATTTCTTACGATGCTGCTGTCATTCTGGAGAATTAGTTGTTAGTCCGGAAAACACATGTTATTATTTGTCATAATGTTATACGCAAATCAAGTAGTACTATTATAACTATTGAAAAGCGATTGCGTGTTGCACATACCTGTAGTATATCATAAAGTCCAATAAAAGTCCAATTTTTTTCAAAACTTTGTCTCCAACAGCTGCATATAAAGATATCATAAAATGGAGCTTACAGGGCTACCCATTGCAAATCAAAAAATTTATTAATAGTACTTGACATTAAACTGAAAATAATTTGAGTTTAAAATGTGTCATGACTTCACAAAATTCACTTAATTACACTTCATAGCATCAACGATTAGCTTACTAGTGTTAGTAAAAAACTACTAGCTGGATCAAAGTGTGATTATCAAGTATTAAAAAGCCACTAAATTTCTTCATTTTATTCATAACTATTTTCGATGCATGACTTAGCTTCTAGAATGTTCGTATTTCGAAACACAGATACAAATAGTAGGATTAAAAAAAATTATTATTCCTGAAGAGAACCATGATTTGTATAGTGGCCGAGATATCCGAAATGTTGTAAGGTTCTTATAGATACATAAATTTGATAATGAGATCTCTGAAGGTACTCAAGTAACTTTTGACCACTTTTTTGAGTGCAATATTCATGGTCATTTCTACTACAACGTACTATTGGAATTTGACTTTTACTCTTATATTCAAAAGTTTCCAGTTGTTGGGTTAATTAAAAATTTGCAAGAATAAGAAAGCATGTTGATGAAAGACCTAAGCCTTATGGCTCTTCAGTTTATCTAAATCAGTGCAAACAAGTATGTTTGCTTGACATTTTTATACATAACTGCAATAGTCTGAACAAAATAATTGTATCCACGATCTAAACACAAACGTATTGTCGAGTACGATTAAGATTAGTTTCACCAACTGTTTCACTCATCACATTTTATTCACGAGACATTATTATATGTAAAATTTGTTGCTGACTTTAAAATAAAAATTATAATTAACTAATATTACAGCTATAAAATCAGTATAAAACTATTTTTCATAATAGGTTACGATCCCAAACACTTTGTACTCCGAGAATATCTACTTTTATTCTACTTAATTTTTAAAATAAATTTTCTGTTGTTATCTTCACAACAGTATAAATATTGTCTTCTAACTTGATATCCTAAGCCTTCCTTATTTAAATTATAAATAAAAAATCATACTCAGGTAAATGAAATCCAACATTTTATACATCATCCTGATGAAAGACGTAAACTATGACATTCGAAAGAAATCAAATTTTTCTTTCCCGCACAGAGTTGACGAGACACTTGATTTTCGTGCTCATGGGTAAAGTAAATTTGTATGCACTAGGGCGCAAAGTAATCACTTTTCACACTTTTTTTATGCATAAATTCACGAAGGACTTACTGTACACACAGAACAAGTATTTCAGGCACTTGTGGTATACAATGTATCGTAACTAGTGCGAACGATGATTCTCTTTTTAGTGTTAAAGCCCGATAATTTTTAATATCATGCTCAGAATCAAAATTATTTTTTCCGCCCTCAGGTGGTTTTGGGAGGCTGGTACTTCCTCGGGCGAAAAAGCAGTTTTCCGGAACTCGTTCGAAAAGTCTCCTTTACGAACCTCGTTACGTCCCTCGCCTTCGGCTCGGGCCGCAAACCTCTCGGTTCGCAAACAGAGACTTTTCAAACTCGTAGGAAAACTACTATTCTTGGAGTATTTATTTTCAACCAGAAACTTTGAAGCTCAACTGTGCTACCATAGTTTTGACAATGTGATGCCTACAATTGGAATTTAAAATCGCACCTTCATGGATCAATCGCATCATAGTTAAAATACCCGTCTAATTATACACTTCAGATGATCAGGCTACATACGTTTCTTGGATCAAAAATATCCTTACATATGACTTAACATAAGTGTGCAGATAAAAATGTGGTTTTTTACAAACAAAGAAATAGAAACTATCGTTGTACGACTCATTAACAAAAGAAAAAAAAAAAAAAATTCTAAAATATGTCATCGCAAAGGTATAACCCGAATAAGCTGCTAAAAAAATTAATATCAACATCATTTTAAACAAACAAGTAATATTTATCTCTGCATATATTAGTATCTTTGAAAAAGTATTGAAATACTTAAAGCAGTTTTAGTTGTGTCTTATTTTACGAAAGCCACATGGATAACACAACTACTACAATCTACAATTAAGAAATCTTTTTGTTATTTGGAGGTGCACCACACATATGAAGAATAGAAAAGGAGAGGAGAGAGGGAAAAAGAAAGAAGAGGAAGACATAGCTAGTTAAAATGCGTTTTAGTTTTTAGTGATCAGCTACTACGTCAAGTTGCTACATCGGTAAGTAATAACTCTTAAAATTATGTTGATTTTACTATAAGGGTTTTTAGGTATTATACATTTTCGTACTTGTACGAAGAGATAGTAATGTTACTAATAGAAAAATAATAATAATTATAACAAACTGTTCCATTTATTTGAAAAAAATTATCGTGACAGTAATAACAATAATATTACACTAAATAGTTTTAGTG